GTTCCCAGCTCCCACATCAAGCAGCTCACAGCTGTCTGTAACTCCAGCTCCAGGGGAGTTTGACTCCCTCTCTTGGCCTACAAGGCACCCACACATAGTGGTATAAACTCATGCAGCAGGCATAGATACACATATAAATGAAAATAAAACAAGTCTTCAAACAAAAAACCCTGGCTTTTAAACGACATATACTCCCAGGTACTTTTGGTGTATACCATGAACAGACCACAGCTAGAAAAACATTGTCTTACATGATAAACATCTAACTCTTTCATACGGTGTAGAGTTTTGCATCTCCTCATCCCCAGCCTCCTTTTCTTCCATGAATTTGTACTGCACCTCGGGCACACCAAGCCACTTAGAATTCATAACGTCTTTCTTTCTCAAACCGTTCTACTCTTTCACATAGTAATTGCTCTGCCTAAAACACCCTTATCCGTCTCTCCCTTGTCCATTGTCTTCCTGTCTCACTGAAGTACGTCCCTCTCCTCCTGTCTTCTCAAACTGAGTTAAACTATACTCAACATACATAGCCTTGTGTATAGCACTTTTTATTTTATTATTGCTGGTTTATTTGTCCCCCTGCTAGGTATATATACCTTGAGATTAAACATCATTATGTCCATCTGTTTTTCTGGTGTGTGGCACATAGAAAATATACCATAAATATTAAATGAAATAGAAGCTTCTCATGCAGTTTTGACACATTGAACATATTAGATCCAGGAGAATATTGTATGGGTAACCCCACTCTACTCTTTTCTGGGACTTAGGTGTTTTGGCTGTTGTTGTTTGTATGTGGTTTGGTCAGTGGATTATTTTATTGAAATATTTTTCCTTGTTCTTAACTAGCTGGGCATTCTACCGCATCATCAGTGATGTCATTTATGACGTCATGAAGGTGGCAGTGATACACATTCCAGCTCACAGACCGTGCAGTACAGAGGATCTCCTTAATAGTTCCACAGAGTTTGCTGGCTGTAGACTGGGCCACATCTGTCAGAGTGCTGGCAGTCCCATCAGAAGTGATGGTTCCACTGTGCTTAATGTTTTTCTGCTGCTTTCAATCTCCATGGGTCCTTGAGGGCTTTGATGATCAGGGCAGGAGGTACAGCCTGTCCAGGCCTGTCCGCTCTGACTGGTCAGTTTAGTAATCCTAAAACGTTGGCAATCACTGGTTGCCTTGGCTGAGTCATTACCAACTTTTTTGGAGACAGACCCACTGGACTGAACTTGAGAGCAACACAGGTGTGGCTCTGACCTTACCTGTGCACCTCAGGTGCTGGACTTCGATCTCCCTAGGACCGAACTGGAGCCTGGTGTGGTGATATTATGTTCCCCAAAATATTGTGCACCCTAATAAACTTGCCTTCTAAGATTCGTGCTACAGCCTGGTGTCAGATGAACTGTTGCCCATAGCCATAGCTGCTCTGAATGAAACCTGAGTGCTTTCTGAGATTTTTAATGTGGTTTAAATATAGAATACATAATTTTGTAAAAAGCATTTTTAATTAAAGGGACAAAAAACCCCTCTGTAATGAATAAGGTACCCTGACTGTGTGTATCATGAGTTTTTCTCATGGCTTCATAAGCTTATGACTTGTATAAGTTGAGATTCCTCCTAGGTCTTCAATTTCCTTAGATATAATTATCTCTGCCTAGTATTTAGAATACCTTTCCAGTGATCTTTCCCTTCTTTGTACAGTCACTCGGTCCTCTGAATAAAAACCAGTTCTGTCCCTTTCCCCCTGTCTCTACCACGTTAAGGCTGCAGTTGCTTCAAGGGAGCTGTGGACGGGAAGAGTGGCATAGAAGCTTGACTTCCCAGAGCCTGTAAGACGAGACCTTGCCTTAGTCCTCTTGTGAGTCTTCTCTGCTCTGTTGTATTTGAGTCAGCCCCGAGACAGTCTCATCCACCCTTCCTTTTCCCCTCCCCTTGCTCACTCCCACCTCACTTCTGTATAGCTTACCCTACCTAGAATTTGCTTAACCAGATTCCTAAGCCTCAAGAAGCCCACCCTTCTGGATAATTGCAGTTCTCTCCTCTTTCAAAGAAGAAATTGACTAATAAATGAGATTCTCCTAAACAGAAAGTTAATAGGAGAAATGGGCATGAATAATTAGTTTCATGGAAAATTTAACAGGAATAATATTGTTTCATATTAAAGTATACCTAATGGATAGTTACATTGGGTGCAGTTGAGTTTGCTATATATACTACAGTCTTTGACCTTTAATAATTGAGCACAATTATTTACTGCCTAGCATATAAAAATGTAGATTACCAGTCTTCTTTTCTTTGTTTCTTTCTTTGTTTTTTTTTTTTTTAAGCCTTGATGGGACTGGCAAGATGATTCAGCAGGTAAGGGTGCTTGCCACTAAGCTGGACAACCTGAGTTTAATCTCTGGGACCCCCGTGTTGGGAAGACAGAAACAATTCCCACAAGTTTTCTTCTGACTTTACATTCCTCACGCCAGTAGAATAGGGATCCACTAGGAAATGGATCTTAGCTGACCTCATGTCACTGTTCTTTTCCTTAGCATTGTGCCCGGGTATAGGAGAGCTAGCTACCCAATAAGTGTTATTGAACAAATGAATAAAAATATGTGGTATTTAAATTTTTTTACCCTTCTAGACATGTGGTGGTGGCGCATGCCTTTAATTCCAGCACTCAGGAGGCAGAGCCAGGAGGATCTCTGTGAGTTTGAGGCCAGCCTGGTCTACAGAGCGAGATCCAGGACAGCCACCAAAACTACACAGAGAAACCCTGTCTCGAAAAACCAAAAAAAAGAAAAGAAATGTTTTACCCTTCTCAAACTTATCTATGTACATGGTGGCCAGTAAAATCAACACTACAATAGTCAATTCAGGAACCACTAATATAGTCAATAAGTCATACAATTTTCACACTGTTATTCACTGTTAGTAAGCTTGGGGAAAGTTACTTAATTTTTCTTAGCCCAATTTTCTTCATTTGCAGTTGAATAAAGTTTTAAATAATTGGTATAATGTTAGCTGGGAATGTAGTTCAGCTGATACAGTGCTTGCCTAGCATGCATGAAGTCCTTGGTTCCATCCCCAGCACCCCATAAATTCTAGTGTGCACACCTGTAAGTCCCCAAACTCAGGAAGTGGAGACAAGAGGATCAGAAGTTAACTATTTATACCATGTGTATGTACCAAGCATATGCTTGTGGACTGTGTATGTGCAGTGTGTGTGGAAACCAGAAGAGGGCATCAGATTCCTTAGAACTGGAGTTATAAACAGCTGTGAGCAGCTGGATCTGGAATCTGGGTCTTCACTCCTACAGAGTTAAGAACCTACCTGGTTCTGAAGGACTAGTACTCCGGGTTTGTTTTGGTCCTTTATTATTTGTGTAATAATATTTATCTTATGGGCTTTGGTCTTAAGTTCTTAGGGACCTTTTTAAAAGCGTGTGTGCATTTAAATACTCATTTATTTAAACAGATACTTAATGACACAACTGTGCCCCAAGTGCCAGCCACTCAAAGTATGTACATACAGGAGGAAATGAACCCTTACTCTTAGGGATCGTTCCTTCCAGTGGAGAAGAGAAAGGCTAAATGTGACTGTGGCTAAAAGTGCTATGAAGACACCACCAGAAAACCCACAGAATCAGTCAACTAACCTGAGCTTATAGGGGCTCACAGAGACTGAACTAACAACCAGGGAGCCTGCATGGGACTGACCTAGGCCCTCTGCATATATGAGACAGTTGTGTAGCTTGGTCTCGTGGAGCTCCTAACAGTGGAAACGGGCTGTCTATGATTATTGTGCCAGCTTTGGGGACCCTTATCCTCATAGTGAGTTGCCTTGTCCAGCCTTCAACTAGATATGCCATGTTTGGTTGATATCCATGGGAGGCCTGCCTTTCTCTGAATAGAAATGGAGGAGGCATGGATGGAGGCGGGGCAGAGGGGAGGTGATGAGAGAGGAACTGGGAGGAGAGGAAAGAGGGGGAACAGTGGTCGGGTTGTCATAAATAAGTAAAGAGAGAAAGAAAGGTGACGAAGCCGGGTGTGGTGTGCGCACCTTTAATCCTAGCGCCAGAAAGCGGAGACAGGTGGATCTCTGTGAGTTCAAGGCCAGCCTGGTCTACATAGAATTCTAGGACAGCCAGGGCTACATAGGAAAACTCTGCCCTCCCCCTCCCCAAATAAACAGTCCTATGAGGAAAACTGAACGCATACAGGGGACAGAATGTGACAAGGGTGGAATGCTATTTGGATGGGATGCTCACTTAGGCCGAGACCTGAATGAAGCCAGGGCACAAACCTGCACGTATCTGGAGGAGAGAGTCCCGGTGGGAGAGTTGACATAGAAAGGCTGGAGGTTGGAGCAAGTCTGTACGTTCCACAAGCAAGAGAGTTGAGTCTAGAAAACTAGAGGAGTGTGGTAGCAGGAGGCAATGGTGAGGGCGGTCCCTGAAGGCCAGGGTTTTGCAGAGCTTCCTTTACCTGCCAGTGACTTTGGACTTTATTATATCTTCAGTAACTCTACGTGTTGGTACATGATTTGAAGTACACTATGTTCAGTGTTTCAGAACATAGTTGTCTTCATGTCACAGATTGGGAATTTAAGTGAAATCTTAACATAGTCTACAAAATATCTAGCCTCATATTTATGTAACTCTGTTGAAGTCTTTGAAACGATATTTGGAGTATTACAGAGCCAGTCAGCAGAGAGACTGACACTCTCTGCTGGTTGAAAGGAGTACTCTGTATATTTTGGAAATCGCTGTTTGTGACTCTAGTCCGACTTGATAGTTTCCCTTTCTTAGGGGACTGACCTCCCGGGCTCATCTGTTCCTTGAAGAACTGAGGCTTCTTCCTTATTCTGCTTATCACCATTGTCTTCATTAATCGTTTCTGTTTTCTAAGATTTGATTTCAGAGAGTCACATCATGTATCAGACCTTGTACTGAATAATTCAGTTAACTTTGTACCTGCTCGCTCAACACACACGCCTGCATTTCAGATGGAGCAGTTGTCGGATGAAGAAATTGACCATGGTGCTGAGGAAGACAGTGACAAGGAAGACCAGGACCTGGATAAGATGTTTGGAGCCTGGCTCGGCGAGCTGGACAAACTCACTCAGGTTAGACGGATTACCTGAAAAGCTGCCTGAAGGTTTGAAGCTATTACCGCATGTTTAAAGTTTAACGTACACACAAAAGGTGTGGGTGCAGGCTAAATTTTAAAATACTGCTAAAAGAGAAAAAACCAAGAACAGGTAGAGGGATAGAAACTTTACAGTGCAAGATAGTATCTTCTGTGGTTATTATTTGTGTATGCTTATGTGGACGTGTGTGTGTGTGTGTGTGTGTGTGTGTGTGTGTGTGTGTGTGTGTGATACGTGTGTCCATCTGTGTGACACATGGCCGTGCAGGTAGAGACCAGAGGATACCCTCAGGGTTTCTTCCTTGGAAGGCCACAGCTTCTTTGAAACATAGGGTCCTTTCTCTCCTCTTCTTCCCCTCTAACACCCCTCTTTTATTAAAGATAAGTTTAATATAGGCTTAAGCACCAGGACTAGATGGGGGGAAAGGGCTCAGAAGAAGGTAGGGAAGTGTGGGTGTGGGTTCCGTAAGAGGAAGTCACCAGATGAAATAGGTCTTTCATTGGCTTTCATGATGCTTTCCGATTGGGCCAGACCTGGGGGATCTCCCTGTATCTGCCTCCCCAGGCTAGGATGACAAGTGCCCACCATCTAGACGTGGGTTGGGGAGACAGATGCATGTCCTCAAGTTTGCAAGTGCTTTACCAACCCAGCTGTCTCCCTAGCCCCTTCCCGTGGTTATTCTAAGGTTAAAAAAAACAGCAGTTCTTTAACAGGGTTCCATTAATACGAGAGGTGACTTAATATCTTCCATAAATTTGAGACTGTAAGCTAAAACAATTTTAAAGTCCGAAGCTTAAAAATCTAAATTTTGACATATTTTGTTCTATAACAAATTTAAATACACTTTATGGCATATATTGTTTGTATTTTCTGGCTCATATTTTCAAAATACTGACAAAAGTTTATTCCAGGCTACATTTAAAATGGTTCTAAAGTTTTTTGGTTTGGTTTGGTTTGGTTTTTGCTTTGTTTTATTGGATTGTTGATTTCTTGTTGCTGGCAGTGTGGTGAGTGGTTAGTTTTTGAGATAGGGTCTCATGTAGCTCAGGGTGGTCTTGGACTTGACATGTAACTTGCCTGCATTCCAGGATGACCTTGAACTGCCAGTCTTGTGTCTGCTGCCCAATGTTGAGATTGTAGGCCTGGGACATCATGGCGTGCATGTGTTCATTTGTTTTGGATCATAGGTCTTAATTTTTAATTTTTTATTATTACGTTGTATGTGTGTATGTGGGAGCGGAGGGACCAGTACATGCATGCATGCCACAGTTTGCATGTGGAGGTTAGGGTACAACTTTGTGGAGTCTGCTACCTTTATATGGATTCCTGGGGTTGAATTGAGGGGCCAGGTTTTCATGGCAAGCATTTTACTTGCTATAAGCCATTATCCCCTATGCCAGGACACTTTTTTAGAATAAAAAGATGCAGCTTTCATTTCCCTGGTTAATATACTGTATGCAATAATGTATAAATATGGTTATATTTATTAAAACAAATTTAATTTCATAATAATGAGAACATTAGAATTTATGTTTAAATAATTTCTTTGGGAATGCATAAGTACGAGATTCCATGGCTAATGGAAAAATAAGATGAATGTGTAAAATGAATGCTTACTTCTTAGCTGTAGATCAGTTTGAAAGGCACATACATTTGTAGCTTTAGTCCATTACTACTAGATTTGGAGGAAAATGTTCTCAGCTCTGCTAGGATTTCATGTGAATATTTCCCTTCTTCTCTGTCTTATTCTATTGCTATAAAGAGACACTATGACCAAGGCAACTTATAAAAGAAAGCATTCAATTTGGGGCTTGCTCACAGTTTCAGAGAGTGAGTCCACATTCAACATGGCAGGAGACAGGCAGCCATAGAGCCAGAGTAGTAAGTAGCTGAGTCTTAACATCTAATCCACAAGCAGGAAGCAAAAAAAGGGAGAGAAACCTAAAAGCCCACCCCCGAAGTGACACACCTCCTCCTACAAGGTCACGCCTCCTAATCCTTCCTATCTGGTCCACCAACTGGGAACTGACCTGATGGGGGCCATTCTCATTCAAAACTCTACAAGCTTTGTAGTCAGAAAAGGTAACATTTTTGTCAAAATGTCTTTTGGTGTCTGTAGATACCAAACCGTTTCTATTTAATTTCCTACTCTGCGAGTGTAGGGGCAGGCATGTGTGTGTGGGTGTACACATGTATATAGAGTCCAGAGGTTGACATCTGGTGGATTAGACACCATTCTCTAAAAGAACAGAATGAATGCATATATATATATATATATATATATATATATATATATATATATATATATATATATATATATATTAAGGGGGGGCGGTATTAGAGTGGCCTACAGACTGTGAACCAGCCAGCTATGGCTGCCTCCTGGTGGGAAGGCCAAAGGATCCAGTAGTTGTGCCCAGTTCCTTGGGTTTTATCTGGTACCAGAAGTAGTCAAATTGACAACCAAGATTAGCCATCATATCTGGTCTCGTCTCTATCTTTTTATTGCATATTCATACTATATGTGGAAGAGAGAGTCATGCATGCCATGGAGTTGGTGGAGGTCAGAGGAGAACTCATGGGAGTTGTTGGTTCTCTCTTTCTACCACGTGGGTCTCAGGGATTGAACTTTGATTGGAAGGTGAGGCAGCAAGGGCCTTCTTAACCTTGTAAGTTACTCTCTGGCACTCCACTGTATTTTTTGAAACAGAGTCTCCTGTTGAACCTGAAGCTGCCAGTTGTCTAGATTGGCTGATCAGTAAGCCCCTGGGATCTTCATCTCTCTGCCACCCCATTGCCAAGATGACAGGCCCACACCACTCAGGCATACATGCCCGTCCCTTACAGGGGTCCTGGGATCTATACTCAGGTCCTTGTGCATAAGCTACAAGCTCTTAACTGAGCCATTTCCCCAGTTCTTAAGTCTTCATTTTTACAGGAAGCAGTTTTGTCATAAGGACGATGACTAGTACTCAGTTCTGTGCTGGTGTGGTGTTCTCAATAATAAATGTTCCCTATAGGGTTAGGGTTCAAGTACTTGGTCCATAGTCAGTCGCTCTGTTGGCTAGGTTATTGGGTGGGTGGGTGGGGCAGCCTTGCTGGAGGAAATAGGGCACTGGGGCACAGCTTGAGAGTTTAAAGCCTGACACTTATGGTAGTTTGAATGTAATTGGCCCCCATAATCTCATAAGACCATAGGGAGTGGCACTACTAGGGGTGTGGCTTTGTTGGAGTGGATATGGCCTTGTTGGAGGAAGTATGAGGACGGGCTTTGAGGTTTCCTATGCTCAGGATACCGCCCAGTGTGTGAGTTGACTTCCTGTTGCCTGCAAGATGTAGGACTCAGCTACTTCTCCAGCACCATGTCTACCTGCATGTTACCATGCTTCCTGCCATGATGATAATGGACTGAACCTCTGAAACTATAAGTCACCCCAATTAAATGTTTTCCTTATAAGAGTTGCCGTGGTCATGGTGTCTCTTCACAGCAGTAGACACCCTAAGACACACCTCTTCTGGTTTACTCTCTTTGCTTGTGTTTGTGGTAAAAGACGTGATCTCTTAATTTCTTACCAGCCCACTTCTCTGCCATAATGGACCAACTCTTATTCTTCTGGAACCCTAAACCCAAAAAAACTTTTTTCTATAAGTTGCTTCTGTTGTGACATTTTTCACAGCAACAGAAAATTAAAGCAGTTGGGAAGAAAGAAGAAACAAAACAGAAGAAATAGAAATAATAGTGTATAAAGGAAATTATCCAAGGGCCAGCTGGTATGTTGGGTAGGGTGTCTGTGACCAGGTGGTTGTGTATTTGAGTAGGAGCCCAAAAGAAAAGCAGGTATGAATGAGCCAAGCTGCCTCTGTGAAGTAGGAACTCCACTCAGGTGGCATTTCTCACTTGGTACTATATTCTCACATGTATTTTCAGTTGCCTATCTTTTCATCATAGAAATCTGTCATTAGAGAGACACATTAAAACCATTGCATATTACATTTGTTTTTATACATATTTTAAGAAATAGTTGACTTGCTAAGATTCAGATATATGTCATTACTTAGCTCACTACAGGGTTACCTGTGCATGTATTCAGTGTTAATGGTTAATCAAACTTAAGATTTAAGGAGTTGATGATTCTTCTAAAAAATTTTGTATGTTGTCCATTTTTCTGGGAGAGGATCTGTAGGTTTTTGTAAATTCTTAGCAACCTTCCCAAGAGTTAAAAATTACCATGTTACCAATTTCTTGGGCTGAGGAGTATTTCTCCGTATTTCCTTTGTTGCCTCAGCACCATGGACAGGTAATTAAAATACATGTTCATTTATTTGAACTGGAAAGAGGTTGACTTTTCATAGGTCTTCAGTTACAGTCAAGTTATTTTATAGAAAATATTTTCCCGTCAGCACTATTGAAAGGAGTAATTAAAATTGCTTCTGAAGAATTAAGTTTGAGGCTAAAGGAGAATTTCATAGCTGTTTTTTGAATTTTTGAAATAAAGCACTGGGTTGTGGATCACGTTTATTTGATAGATAGCTTCAAAAACAGGATGAAGACCTGGAGCAATGGCTTAGTGGTTAAGAACACTGGCTGTTCTTGCAGAGGACCCAGGTGTGGTTCTCAGCACCCAAGTGGCAGCTTGTAACTGTCTGTAACTCCATTTCTAGGGGATCCAGCTACCTCTTCTAGCCTCCACGGGTACTGCATGCACACATGGTACACTTACATTCAGTCAAAATACTCACATACATAAAATAAAAATAAATCTTTCAATACATAATGGAGATTGGGAGTGTAGCTTAATTGGTAGCACGCTTCCCTAGCAACACAGAGACCAGGTCCCATTCTTAGGACCACATAATACACGTAGCATATTGGTAGCATATAACTATAACCACAGCACTCTAGAGGTCATCTTCTGCTACATACAGTTAGTTTTAGGCCAGTCTGAGCTACAGGAGAATCTTATCAAAAAAAAAAAAAAAAAAAAAAAAAAAACAGCAAAAACAAATGGGCACTATTTGTATGAATTATCAAAATCTTGAGATATACAAATAGTAAAGATAGAATTCTAATATAACTTTATGATTCTATAAATAGAATACATGAAGTTCTTTTTTTAGTTGAATTCCTTTTCTTTCTCTTTGTTGTTGTTGTGGTTGTAATTTTCTGTTTAGATACCTCTTCCTTATTGTCGAAAGGCTACAGGTGAAGAGTATCATTGTAAGAAGGTGATAAGGGCTAGAAGTATAATCTAGTTGTAGAGTTGAGTGTCTGCTATACACAAGGCCTTAGGTTCGGTCCCCAGCACCACAACAGGGAGTGAGTGAATGAAATTCAAGATTGTGCTTTGCATTTAGTCATGGATGAGACATGGATGAGGCTATGCTAGATCAAAAACACAACCCTTTGAGGAAAGAGATGGCAAAACTCCCTTCATGGTTCTTTACCATGTCCGTATTCATATACTTAGATTATTTCACAGTGAACTTATGTAGAATCATGTCGTTGACTAAACAGTATATTTGAAAAGATGTTTACCCTGAACTGTGACAACTCTGAGTCTCAGGTATCTTAAAAGTAAGTGTATATTTAGAAATGAGAGCTAGCTGGTGAAAACCAGTTATGTTTTTCCTTGGGGTTATCTTTTAGAAGAAACTTTAGCTTTGTTAGTATGTGTGCTGGATAGTTTTATGTCACCTTGACACATGCTAAAGTCTTCTGAGAGGAGGGAACCTCAATTAAGGAAATGCTTTTACAAGTTGAGGCTGCAAGCAAACCTAGAGGGCATTTTCTTACTTAGTGATCAATAGGGGAGGGCCCAGCCCATTGTGGTGCCGTCCCTGGGCTGGTGGTCCTGGGTTCTATAAGAAAGCAGGCTGAGCAAGCCATGAGGAACAAGTCAGTAAGCAACACCCCTCCATGGCCTCTGCATCAGCTCCTGCTCCAGGTTCCTGCTCTGTTGAGTTCCTTTCCTGACTTCCTTCAGTGACAAATAGTGATATGGTAATAGTTATGGTGTTTTATTGCTTCAGTAGAAACCCTAACTGAGACAATATGGCAGTTCACTCATCTTTTTGTGTAATGGAAACCCACATTAATATTACTTGTTAAACTTTCTTTTTTTTAAAGAGTTTAGATTCTGACAAGCCCAAAGAACCAGTGAAAAGATCTCCTCTTCGCCAGGAAACAAATATGGCCAACTTTTCTTACCGTTTCTCCATATACAACTTGAATGGTAAGATTTGATTAAGTAAAGTCTAAAATAATATACTGAGTTCTATAATACAAGAATAATAGAAATGCAATTCTAAATGTAAAACAATATAAAAATTATATACATAACTTGACTGAGTTTTGTTTCTCCTTTTTTTAATTGTGTGTGTGTGTGTGTGTGTGTGTGTGTGTGTGTGTGTGTGTAGATACACACATGAGTGCGGGTCCCTGCAGAAGCCAGAAGTGTAAGATCCTCTTCAAGCTGGAGTTACAGGTGGTTGTGAATCATCTAATGTAGGGGATAGGAATTAGACTCAGGTCATCTGGAAGAAAAGTCCATGTTCTTAGCCACTGGGCCATTTCTCCGTTCTCAGTTCTGTTTTTCTTGATCTGTGCATATTAATTCAAGTTAATCAGAAGAGTTCAGAAGAAACAGCAACTAGAACATAACAAATCGTTTTCTTGTCATGTATTTAATACTTGATACTGTGTATGAAGAAATGAGAAAGCCCACAACAATCTGATTGCATTGTTTTCTGACTTTATTAAAGTCCAAAGAAAATTATTCTTAGTAATTTTAAATCAGCCCATGTGACCTTTATTTAATGTACCTAGCCACTTCTTAGTGTTTGGAATAAATGTTGTAAAATTTTTAGACTTTTTTCTCTTTATGCTCTTCTCTCTTGGTAGTACTGTATCTCCCTGGACACTGACCATATTAAGTTGTTTTAGTTAAGGTTTGCGTCACTGCAGTGAAACACCGTGACCAAAGGCAAGTTGGGGAGCAAAGGGTTTGTTTGGCTTACACTTCCACACTGTCGTCCATTATTGAAGGAAGTCAGGACAGGAACTCAAACAGGGCGGGAGCCTGGAGGCAGGAGCTGATACAGACAGAGGTCACGGAGGGGTGCTGCTTACTGGCTTGTTCCACATGGCTTGCTCAGCCTGCTTTCTTACAGAACCCAGGACCACCAGCCCAGGAATGGCATCACCCACCATGGGCTGGGCTGGGCCCCCCCCCCCCCATCACTAATTAAGAAAATGTCCAAAGCCAGCTCTTACAGAGGCATTTTCTCAGTTCGAGGTTCCCTCCCGTCAGACAACTCACTTGTGTCAAGTTGACATCAAGTGGCCAGCATAACAGTCCAGAGTTAATGGGAGATTTGGTTAAAACCATGGAATAGTACAAGGTGCTTCCAGTATTTTATCTTTGAGCTTAAAATCTAATTTTCGTTACCAGAGATCTTAAGAGATGGACTATTTGCTCCTAAAAGTTCTCTTAGAATATAAAACAAAACCTACTAAGTATTTTATTTGATTGGCTTTAGGCCCAATACAATGTATTCTTTTGCTTTTTTCCTACTGCCTGTGGCTAATGTATAGTAGAATGTGTAGATTTTGATTGTGTTCTGGAAACTTATGTCTTCTTTGCAGAAGCTCTGAATCAGGGAGAGACTGTGGATCTGGATGCCCTGATGGCCGACCTCTGCTCCATAGAGCAGGAACTCAGCAGTATTGGCTCAGGAAACAGTAAGCGCCAAGTCACAGAACCAAAAGTCACTCAGAAGCTACCTGCTGGCCGACATACATCGAAACATGGCACCCTCAGAGCATTACCATCTTCCTCTGCTAGAACAACTAAGCCTTCCCATGCTAACTACTCCCTGGATGACATCACCGCACAGTTAGAACAGGCTTCCTTGAGCATGGATGAGGCTGCTCAGCAGTCCGTAGTAGAAGAGTCTAAGCCCGTAGTGACGAATCAGCACAGAAGGACTGCGTCGGCCGGCACCGTGAGTGACGCTGACGTCCGCTCCGTTAGTAACTCCTCTCGTTCGAGCATCACTTCTGCAGCGTCTAGCATGGATTCTTTGGATATCGACAAAGTGATGCGTCCTCAGGAACTGGATTTGACAGCGCATCAGGGCCAGCCGATTACTGAGGTGAGTAGATGGAAATTTTTAACATTTAAAATTTATCAAAAGTACTTCTCAGCTGAATAAGGCCATAGGAGAAGTATACACCAGTCAGGGTAGTGTCACGAAGATGAGTTAGAAGAGGGTTGGAGTCTTCTTTCTGTCTTTTGACCTGTTAGAACCCTTCAATTAATATTTCACATGATTAAAAGATTGAATTAGGATTTACAAAGCCATGAATACTTAATAAGCTGATAATTGTTTTTAACATGATTAAAGACCATAAGGCCATGTAAATCGTCATTGTAGTCTTTGAAGATTCTGCTGTTTGGAGTTTGCTCCATTCTGTTATCAGAAGGGTTGGTTAGTGTGGTAGAAAGAAAAGCTGGACGTGAAGAACTTTGTCAGTTGATACCCGTGGAACTCAGGTGAGTTACTCAGTTTCTCAGAAGAAAACTTTCATCCCTGTTGCCTAGCCTGCCTTCCTCCTAGGGTGATTCAGAGACTCAGAGTGATGTGGGTGATACAAGATGACGTTTCCCTGAGTGTTTTAGGGTAAGAGTAGGAGATGGAGTTGTGATAATAGAGTTAACAAAAGAAAGATTTCTCTGTATCTAGAAGATAGGAGTTTTGTTGTATGATAGCAACAAGAAAAAATGAGTGGATCATAACAAAGTCAGCCTTTCCAGTGAGCTTGTGTATATATACTCTTACAAAGCAAAAGAGTGTATGCATTATTGGCACTAGTGTGGAATAGTGTCAAATGCTATGGAAAGAATTACAGAGAAACTTGAAATTTACTCTCTGGCATCGTTAGACTCTCTCCTACCCACCTGATTTAATTCTCCAGATTAATTTAAATTAATCAGTAACTCTTGGTATTTACCCAAATGCTTAGCTTTGTTTTAGGTACTGTGGAGCGCAAAAAGCATTAATCATCACGGTTTAGAGACAAATGAGTTATTGCAAAGAAAGGAAGCAAGTCATACGAACCTAAAGAATACACCCTCATTTATCTAAAATGGATCTTGTCTGCATTCTGTAAAGAATTTGAAAACCAGTTTCTACTTTATGAAGAAACCCAATAGACTTTATGACCTAAGAATTGTAGCTAGCACCAGCTTCTCATTTCACGCCTGTCAGTTACCTGCTGAGATTGAAGTAAGCAGTGTTTTATTAGCGATGTGTTTTTTCCTTCTTTGTCTTGTATGTTATTACCTCCTTTCTGCTCTGTTATTTGAGATCAAAATTCGTGAGAACAGATCTGAATTACTAAGGATATTCTCTGTGGCTGTGGCTGTGGCTGTGGCTGTTGACTGCCTGTCTGTGGTGATACTGTGTTCCCCAAAATATTGTGCACCCTAATAAACGTACCTGGGGTCAGAGAACAGAACAGCCACTAGATACAGAGGCCAGAAAATGGTGGCATACACACCTTTGATCCTAGCATTCCTAAGGCAGAGCTCCATGAGTTCAAAGCCACACTGGAAACAGCCAGGCATGGTGACTCACACCTTTAATCCCAGGAAGTGATGGCAGGAAGCAGAAAGGTATATAAGGTGTGAGAACTAGGAACTAGAGGTTGGTTAAGCTTTTAGGCTTTTGAGCAGCAGTTCAGCTGAGATCCATTTGGATAAGGACTCAGAAGTTTCCAGTCTGAGGAAACAGGATCAGCTGAGAAACTGGTGAGGTGAGGAAGCTGTGGCTTGTTCTGCTTCTCTGTTCTTCCAGCATTCACCCCAATACCTGGCTTCAGGTTTGTTTTTATTAATAAGAACTTTTAAGATTCGTGCTCTACCTGTCCTGTCCATATGTCTTTCTGTCTGTAAAATACCACTCACCGAAGTTCAAACAATGTAAAAGAGTATAAAGTGAAAAGACCCATGTCTCAGGAAACACATCAAATGCTGTCTGGTGATACCCATGGGCAAAGATATTTGGTGGTGTAGTATTTAATATAATATTTTTAGTGAGGTTTGGTAGGGGGAATGGTCTAAAGTCTCCTCTTTTAGTTTGTCCGGAATGATTTAAAAAAAAAAAAAAAGGGCTTAATAACTTGCTTCAGTATCCTTTTTTCTTGATAATACTGTTTTCTGATTCAGATTGAACAAACTGAGATGAGCCAAAACCCATGTGTCAAATAGTCTTAAAATCAAATACAATTTTAAAACTTACAGTTAGCTTTTCATACATGGAATTCAGTAGTTCTGTCAGACTTATGAAATATTTTCTGCCATGCACATGTCACATTCTGCTCCCAGAAATAAGCACTTTCTAATCTTTGAGCTAGTTCTTATACCATTTATCTCCATGTCATTAAATCCACACTTCCATCACTGCATCTCTTTTTGTTTCCTCCCTGCTTCATATATTCTGTACTGACTTTGGAAAGTGAGACGGGCTTGTCTTTGAACAACACCTTTCTCTTCTCTGCTCCTGTTTCATCCTTTCTAGTTCTCCCTTCTTTTCCCGTCTCACGGTTAGCTACTGCTGTGTATTTCCTTTCTTTTTTGTGGTCTTAGCGATCAAACCCAGGGCCTTCTATGTGCTAGGCAAGCACTTACACACTCCACCACTGAGCTAACCCGCCAGCCCCCCAGTACACTCGGTGCTTTTATTCTAGTGACTGTCCACTTGAAGTTTGCTGCACAGCTGCATATTCTTTACTTTCTTTTAAGGGATAGCAGTTTGCTTTTAAAACGCGAACAAAAACACTTCATTTCCTCTATGTTTATCATTATTTCCGCTCTAATTTACCAGTTGATTGAGTCTTGGTTAGCTTGAACAGAGTTCATTTCTCTTCATTTCTTCCCTCTTCAAATTCTTTTCCTCCTAGTCTCTTATTTAGGATTATTTGTGTCTTTTCCCTCAGACCACTAACCTTCTGCAGAGAAGATTCTGCCAGTCTCTGGCATGAAGGGCATGTGCCTGGCAGCCAGCATTTCAGCAGCCTGTTAGGGACAAGCAAAGGTTTGGATGTGGGACTGTTTCTCAATGTGAACTTCATCTGATCCTTTAGATTTCTCAATACAGATATAACCGACACTTTGGGCATGTGGATTTTAGTTATGAGAGGCTACCCTGGACATTGTAGGATGTTTAGAAGCACCCCAACTTCTACTCAGTAGGTGCCATTAGGTAGACATGTCTACATATCCATGAAAGATAAAATCACTCCCATTTGAGAATTTTATCTCAAGGTAGAAAATTAAAGCAAGTCAGAACCCTCTTTTCAGGAAAAATGACCTTGTTTTTTTCTTGGAAACACACGGAATTAAGATTAATTATAGATGGCTAGTACAGGAGGATAACTGGGAGTTCTTCAGCCTGGCTGTAGAGTGAGATACTGTTTCAAACAAAGCAGAAAGAAAGGTTGGTTATAGACGGTCTCCAGGTAGGGCCAGAGATCTGGCCCGGTGGTAGATACACTGCTTAGCTGGCACACACAAGCTCCGCGTTCAGTCTGCAGCACCAGAGGGAAAATGGTTCTTCAGAGAAGTCGCCAGGTGTTGTTATTGTGTACTTTAAAATGCCCCAGAGTCGTACGTGCATACAGAACAGGAAGAGTGCCTTGAAGAACATGGCAAGGCCTAGACCCTCACTTCCTCGTGTGGTACGACTTCTGTAAGTGAGTAAGAGCATGTCTCTGAGGGGCCTTAGTACTTACATTCATTCCTACCTGATATGACCGGTTCCTGTGGAGTGTGACGTTTTCACAAGTCCTGCTCATTTCTGTTCTTGCCAATGTGGTCTCTTTCCCATACAACCAGCTGCCAGTTAATAGGCCCAGAAAGGTCCTTGTGAGCAGCACGGACTCCCTCTGAAGATGACATGCCAGAGGTGGCAGAGCTAGTGAACTCATCTCCAGCAGGGGTCCAGTCTGTTGGGTCCTGTGAGTGAATATCAATCTGAGCATGCGTCCATTGCCGATGGGCAGGTGAAGAAGGAACTCTAGGGATTTCCTGCTTTCCCAAACACAGTGTCTGTCTGTGTCCCCACTGTCACGACTGCTGCCTCTCTGACAAAGCTGGGTGCTGGTCTGCTTTGCTCTGGTGCTAGCTCTGCGTTCAACTTGTGTTGGGCCTTTCACGTAGGTTACTCTCAGCTGTGTACTTTGTACCTTCCAGAAATGGTCCTTGTCTGCTTGTAAGTTTGTCATTTTTAAAGCTCTTTGTTTAGCAGGATTTGGAAAGAGAGGGAGTTCCTCATTAGCCCTCTGCCTCCCTGCAGCCTCATGACTTCTGGAGTGCCCCACAGTGGAGTCTTCAGACTAACTGTTTTCATCACATCCTTCTACACTGACAACTCCAATTTTAAACTTCTTTAAAAAATTTGTATACAAAACGATCATGTTTTCCCCTCCCCCAATTCCTCCCAGATCCTCCTTACCTCCTTATCCACCCAACTTAGTGTTCTCTCTCTCTCTCTCTCTCTCTCTCAAATAAAAACAAAACAATGAAAACCAAGAAATAGACACACCGAAAAAAACTCTCAAAAACAAATCAAAATAGACAAAAGACGAATAAAGCAAAAATGCCCAAAGAAAGCAAAATGAGTTAGAAAGTCTACAGAAATACACTGAGTTCATTTTACAGTGCCTGCCCTGAGGTGTGATTAACATACCCTGTGAGATGCTAATGGAGAAGAAAACTGGTTTTTCCTTAGCCAGAGAGTATTCATTGCAGACAGCTTCTTTAGGGGTGGGCCCGTGTCCACCTCCCCCTCTTAGTGCTGGGACCCCACCTGGATTAAGCCTGTGCACACCTTGTTTGTGCTGCCGCTGTCTTTGTGAGTCCAGATGTTCATCCTGCTGTGTCTGGAATGTTACTTTTTACTCATTGGATGTGTGTTTTTCCCTAAACTGCTTGAGTTGGCTGCATTTGTCATGACCTTTTCTGTTTGTCACGGCTACTACTGTCTCTATTACCTGAGAACTATATTGACCATACAGAACTGATAGACCTTATTGATCTGGTAACTGAAACGGTGCTAAGAATGGATATTTCTATGGATAATACATAGAAAAGTGAAAAGTTTTTATCTGACCAAGCATATGACATGAAGGCAAAGCAGAATTAGGTATCCATTCCATAAGTAGTTGCTTAAATGTTCCATAGATACTCGGTGCCTAGGCACTGCCCTGGAATATAGAGGATAAATTGTCCTTATCGGGGACTGGAGAGAGAGCTCAGTGAGGTAAGTACTTCTTGGGCAAGCATGAGAACCTGAGTTCAGATCCCGAGCATCCGTATAAAAACGGCATGATGATACAGGTCTGTAACTCCCGTGCTGAGGGCAGTGATTAGGTGGATCCCGGGAGGTTGGTAGCCAGCCAGTATTGCCAAATCAGTGAGCTCCAAGTTTAGTAAGAGACCCTGCTTTAGCAAGTAAGGTGGAGCATTATTGAGGGAGACATCAGACGTCAACCTGTGACCTACATAGGCACACACGAACCCAGCATCACACATGCAAGGTCATCAATAACATTGAAGATTAATTTCAGAATGCTTTGCAACTCGAAGGATGAAGTCTTTGAGGGGAAAGACTGCAGAGAAGTAAGGAGTTAATGAATGGCTAGGAAGTGGTAGAACTGCCGAGTACGGGTTCAGGAAATTTGGCAGTATGGAGAAACGAGGTAAGAGGAAGGTTAGCCAGGAGACTGAACATTTGTGGTCCCTTCCTTACCCCGGTGGGTTAATGTGGTTGAATCCTGAAGGAGGGGTGAGTCAGACTGAAACACGCATAGCTTGGGGGAAAAGGCTATTTCATATATTTATTCATATAAAACTTGAAAGGATGGGTGGGGAAATGGGAATTTCGTAGAGAATACGCTGCTGGCTGAGATGTGATTTTCTTTGTAAGGAAAGAGGTAAAGGGGAAAGCCAGAGCTTGAGGAATGGGGAGACTCAGCACAGGCTCTGAGGGGATGACTAACACAGTCACGGGAGGAGATAAGGTCCTGCCAGTGGTCCAGGGCAAGCAGAGGGTCCTTAGCATAACCTGCTCCCGGCCACAGCCCTGCTGCTTAGTTAGTGTTGCCGCAGAGCTGCATTGTCCAGAAGTGAAGTAAGGCGATCCTGACGTTGTTGAGGAGTAGGATCATCTGGTTCTTAATTTTCTAATTTTCGTGTAAAAGAATGGACGGTAAGATAATTGCATGCAGTTTTTTATTGCTCCTTTTGCTTCGTTCCTGTTGATTTCATTTCAGCGACCCATTTCTCTTCCTGCATGATGAAAATCTGCTCTTTTCACCTCCATTACCTGTCATTTTTTTCCTTCCTCCATTTCCACAGCATGCTATTTCTCTGAGATGCCCCGGTAAGCAGGCCAAGCACCACTCTGACGTCACAGAAGAGCAGGCTGAGCTGACACCTGTAAGTTCTGTAAACACATCATGGGGCTGTTTGCACATTAGTGAAGAAAAATAGATTCATTACAACTCCAAATGATGATGTCTGATCATATCATAATGTCAGTTTTTCTCTTATTCAATAAACTTAATTATTTAAAAAGACTTCCAAACTAAAAAAAAAAATAAATCCCACACCAAAATTAACCAGATCCAAAGTCAGTGAACTTCCATACAGTTAGAGTAGGCATTTGGAATGGGAAAACCAGGGAGCGTCACATTAAATTTTACAATTTCATTATTGAATATATTTTATGCACTTACCCTTCGCCAAAAAATAAAACAAAATCCATGGCAGGCAGAAATAGAAAAACAATTAGCTTTATATCCTCTTTAATAATTCATGTCCATTACCTGCATTCAGTCCTTCCCTATCCCCTAAAATTTAGCTTTTTGTGTTCTTTATTCATGTTATACTATACACACATGTGCATTTGTTTACCTATATACACATCATTGGCTGGATTCTGCATATGAGAGTGAACATGCAATTTTTTTTCTTTCTGAAATTATATATATTATATATACATTCTAAGCCTTTTTTCTTGAAAAATTTTTTGTAATAGCAAATACATATATCACTACCCTTTAGTAGGAATATCAGATATTAAAACAGTCTGTAGGAATAATCAGGGGAAATTATTACTTAAGAACACACAGGAAGATTTTTAAGCTCTTATTACAGACTTTGCATGTCCTTTAATTGTAAAGATACATGTCTGAAAGATCCCGATGGTCAGGGAGATACATCAAACTTCCCTTGCCATAAAGACTTCTCCCCACCTCCTGAAGGGGAATATGGAACGCTGCATGGATTTGTGTGTCTTCCTTGCACAGAGGCCATAATGACCCCCTCTGTCTTCTTCCAGTGTTAGTGTATGTGCTGCGAAAGCGAGCACTCTTGCAAACTTTTTAACTTCGTTTTTCTTCAGAGCTGAATAGTATTCCATTTTATAGATGTACCAGATTTTTATCATTCGTTCATCTGCTGATAGACAACTAGACTGTTTACAATGCTTTGATATAATGAATAAAGCAATAATAAACATGGAGATACAAATGTCTCTGAGGCAGGGTTTGGGGTTCTCTGGGCATATGCCTAGGAGTGAAACACCTGGGTCATATGGTAGTCTGTTTTCAGACTTTTGAGACGTCTCCAAACTGATTTCTACAATGGCTATATTAATTTACACTCTCACCAACAGTAAATAAGGGTTCCTTTCAACATCCCCAACATTGGTTGTCATGCTTGTTGATGGCAGGCACTTTGATTAGGGTGAGGTGGTATCTCAAGAGTAGTTTTTGGTTTGGTTTTTTTGAGACAAAGTTTCTTCCTATAGCCTTGGCTGTCCTGGATTCACTCTGTAGACCAGGCTGGCCTCGAACTCACAGAGATCCGCCTGACTCTGACTCCCAAGTGCTGGGATTAAAGGCATGCACTGCCACCACCACCACCACCAGGCTTCAAAGTAGTTTTAATTTGCATTTCCCTGATGGCTAGGGATATTCAACACTTTCTAAAGATAATTATTGGCCGTTTGTATTTCTTTTTTTGAAAACTGTCTTTTCAGTTAATTTGCCCACTTGTTGAGTGACAGTTTTATTTTCATAGTGTTTGATTTCTGCAATTCTTTGTAAGTTCTGGATATCCGGCCCTTGTCTGAAGTGTGGCTGGTAAAGATTTCCTTCCATTGTGTTGGCTGTCTGTTAGCTGTGCCGAACTTTTTATTTTCGTGGTGCTTGAGATCAGTTCCTGTGTTGTGTTCTTTTAAAAGTTTTTGCCATCCCCAGTATCCTCAAGGATATCACCTATGTTTCTTTTAAAAGTTTCAGTGTTTCAGGCTTTGAATTAAGGTCTTTGATCCATCTTGGATGGGTTTTTGTATACAATGTGAAAGATATAAATATAATTTCATTCTTCTGCGGGTAGAAATCCAATTTTTCTAGCACTATATGTTGAATTTTTCAGATAAAAATTAAACCAAATTTAAAAGAAAATGAGCAAAACCAAATAGTCACCTTTCTAAACCAGTGCTGTTGGATGTTAACATTCACTGTAGACTACCTGATGATAGAAGGGAGTTTGTGTTGGAAGCATGTCTTCAATTCTGGCTCTAAGGGCTTTCTAAACCAGTGCTGTTGGATGTTAACATTCACTGTAGACTACCTGATAGAAGGGAGTTTGGGTTGGAAGCACGTCTTCAATTCTGGCTCTAAGGGCTTTCACGAGCTTCTTCAGGCACTGACGAGCTAGCTGTTCTTCAGGGCGGGTTCACGAAGTGCAGTGTCTCTTCCACACTGGTGCCCAACTAAATACCTGGTCTCGGGCTGATGTCCTCCTTACCAAGCAGTAGCTCCCAGTCCTTTTAATCCCACCACCCCTTTTTAAGTAACAAATAATTTGTAACCCTATCTTTACTACCCCCAACAAAACTCACAGTTAACATAATCTACCTACATTCCGACAGTATCAAAAAATATAATGTCTTAATGCCTAGGATGAAAAAAAATAACCCAAATAATTTGTAATAAAAATATTTAATACATAAATATGTCTACCACTATTGAAGGATGTAAGACAGTAGAGAAAATCCACCTCCTCTTAATCTCAATTCTCACTGAAGTGATCAGGAGTGCGTTTGCTAATAAATACCAAAGAAAGGGAGAGTGCAATACGAGCGACTCCCAGAGCTGCAGTGTGCCATGAAAATGACAGGCATGACCTAGGGGGTGCGGTGAAAGAAGAGGGGAAGTGACCTTAACTGAAGCAGGCATGCGGTGTGCTGAGACAGTCACAGTCCAAGAAGGGACAATGGGAAGGTCTTTGCTTTCTTCTTGCCTTAGCAATACTGAGTGCTTGGGCTATAAGCATTCCCCACCTTATCTGGCTCTTGAGATAAGTTTCTTGCTGTAGTTACAGTGATTAAATGAGATGGGTTAGTAAGAAATGATTTTTTGATAATTGATTTTATAAAACATACAATTCTCATTGTGGTATACTTAAACAAAATAATATGAAATATTTTTAAACAGCTGCACAAGCTCAGTGAAATCCCTGTATTTCGTATTTTTACCGATACAGCATTTGTTCTTTGTTCCGAGGAATTTCCGATCTGGGTGTGTCTGACGTTGACATTGCCAGTTGAGACATGGCAGCCCTTTCTTTAAACCAGGGTTCCATTGGTCAGGGTTTCACGTCATTATAACACAGTTTATAAAAAGAAGTTTAAAGGACTCCTGGAGGGTAGGGACAGCATGGTTAAGAGGAAATGTGAGTATAAGCAGAGCACCATGTTGATATGCACGAAAGTTAATCCAACCCATTATATTCGATAGAATTAAAATGAAAAGTACAGAATTTCCTCAACCTATTTCATAAGATGAAATGCTCCAAAATTATTGAAAATTAACATTATACAAAATTATCTTGTGTTTATATGTAAAATATGCAAAGTTTTTCATCTATATCATTTTCAATGGAAGGACATAAATGTCTTGTGGGATGGGTTGTGGACTTTTATGCAATATTGTGCCATGCTTTAGGACAGCTGGCATTTTCGATTTTCTTCTCAACAAATGCTATTAACCCTTCCTCTTGTCTTTATTGTGAACTCCCAAAACACCCTCACCATTTTCTGAGATGCCAAGTTAAGGACAGTACTGCACCCCGAGAACCAAGTATTTGCTTATTTTTTCATTTCCTCTGCTCGTCCACCCTTTTCAGCCTCCTTCTCGTCCTCCAAGACTGTGCATTTTTTCCAGAATACTCTCCCTAGCCCCTGACTTTGGCATAGGGTCCCCCGCCTCCTTCCCTTGCCACCTAGCACACTGCGTTGTAGTCAGTGGATGACGCAGGCCTGTGAGGGAGGTGCAGGCCAGGCAGAGTGGGGAGAGCAAGTACTAAGTGCCTGCCCCAGCTCCAGGCTTGAAGTTAGTCTAAAAGATGGCTGAATAGACAGAGAGAGCATACATGGAAGAGAAAAGGAAAACATTAGGCCTTGGCTAGCTAGCTATTTATTCATTCATTCACTCATTCATTCATTCACTCATTTAATTTGGTTTTTCGAGACAGGGTTTCTCTATGAAACAGCTGTGGCTGTCCTGGAACTCACTCTGTAGACCAGGCTGGCCTTAAACTCACAGAGATCTGCCTCCCGAGTGCTGGGATTAGAGGCATGCGCCACCACCACCCGGCCTTTTATTTATGTTTTTTATTTTGATGTGTTTGTGTGGGCATGTGTGTTACAGTGTGCATAGGGAGTTCAGAGGACAGTGTTGGGAAGTTGGTTCTTCCCTTCCACTTTCCATGGGTCGGTCTGGGCATCAAATTCAGGTCGTTAGGCTTCCACAGCAAGTGCTGAGCCATCTCGCCGGCCAAGTGTGATTGTTAACTAGCAACACATGCCGGGATACCTGGCCGTTAGCTGCACACACACCTCTTCTCTCACTCCTTTCCATCTTTCTCCAGTGAGAAGGCGCATTCCTTCTTCCTTCTGAAAGCAGGACTTAGGAGCAGTGTGCGACTGACGGGCACTAAAGGGAGGGAGGCAGGTAACGTAGGCATCGATTTAAAGGAGAATTTCTTTCAGCTTCTGGGTTCTAGGTGCCATGTCTCCTGTTACCCACACCTGTAGTTTACGTAGAAGGAACCTGGATCTGCCCTCCCTTATAAGGTCCCGGTGTTCTGCTTCTAGTGAACCATGTCCTGTTCTTCAGTAAAAACTTCAGCTTATTATTTTGCTTCCAGAGTATTGCCCTCATTAGCAAAGTACATTACAGTCTTTTGTAAGTCAAATTTTTATTATCTATAGTAATCACTAAAAAGCATTATGATAATATATTTTTGGATCTTTTTTTTAACCCCTGAGATCCAAACTATGGCTTTTTTTTTAATATTTTAAAAATGACTTTATGTGTTTAGGTGTTTTGTCTGCGTGTGTGTCTGTGCACCGTATGCATCAGTTCCCTAGGACTGGAGTTAGAGACAGTTGTGAGCCACCATACAGGTCCTGGAAATCAAACCCTGGTCCTCTGGAAGAGCAGTCAGTGCTCTTAACCACTGAGTTATCTCTCATACCCATGTCTTTAAAAAAACTAAATTATTAGCTGGATGATGGTGGTGCACACCTTTAATCCCAGCACTTGGGAGGCAGAGTCAGGCGGATCTCTGTGAGTTCGAGGCCAGCCTGGTCTACAGAGCAAGATCCAGGGCAGGCTCCAAAGCTACACAGAGAAACCCTGTCTCAAAAACAGAAACCACTAAATTATTAAGTGGGGGAGAGGAGACATGCTCATGACACCACACTTGTGGAGCAATCGAAGGACAACCCCTTTGGGGAACTGGTTCTCTCCCTCCAGGATGTTTTAAGACAGCATTGCTCTTACTGTCTCCGCCATACTGTATATTCCAGGCAATTATATTGTCCGGAAAAGCTTGCCATAGGAGTGCTGGGATCACAAATGGCCATCTAGCCTTTTACCTGGGTTTTGGGGTTCACTCATGTTAGTGTGTGTGTGTGTGTGTGTGTGCAAGCACTTCCATTGCTGAGCCATCTGGCCCCCTGGATCTGTCTCTTAACCAGAATACTTTCTGAAAACCAGGTGCCAAAATGTTTATATCTGATTGCTACATTAGAATTCATGTCTGGAGTTATATTTTACCAAGTCATAGCTTTTGTGGATGGCATGAGGCAAATTTCATTTTTTTTAAACTTGAAATGCAAGGCTAGCAAGATGGCTCAGTGGCTAAAGGCACCTGTCACCAAGCTCTGTGACCTGGGTGTGACCCCCAGGACGTGCATGGTGGAAGAAGAGTTATCTTCTGACCTCTACTCTGTAGAAATGTACCGCAACACACACATATGCCATAGAAGCACCAAGATATATGTACATACATGTACACAAAATAAATAAAATTATTAAAAAAAATTAAACTTGAAGTGTGGTCCCATGAATATTGATATTCCACTATTTGGGGCTCTTTCTGGAAAAGTAACCTTTGGAAGATAAATTGAGATGTTTTCAAGGAATTATTTTCTTGGGCTGGAAAGATGGCTAAGGGGTAAAAAGCACTTCTTATATAGATGTGAGGACTAGAGTTTGGATCCCTGGAACCCACATAAATGCCAAGTGGGCATGTAGCCTGCCTGCAGTCCCAGCCCCTGGAGACACAGAGGATTCCAAGAAAAAGCTAGCGAGCCGGACCAGTGAAGTCAGTGAAAGACCCTGCCTCCTTACAGCAGCTGGAAGCCAGCTGAGGAAGGCACCCAACGTCAGCTTCTGGCCTCCACAGCACACATACATGTAACTACAACATACACACATGCCTACACCTGGAGACACAGGCACACACTATACACACATTACTTTCTTCAAATCCATGCCATGTTTTACATATTTGTGTAAAAATATATTTTTCTTGTGTAGATGACAAATAATAAATGGGAATAGTGGAAGTTATAGCTGACATTTTTAAATTTTGCTTTTTAGTCTTTATACTTTTGTTTTCTCTCTGGTCTGGGCTGAGCAGTAACCTTAAACTAAATTTGAGTTTTCAGAAACTTCTGCCTACCTACAGTTTTATGGATGAGATACCTAGCCTGCCTCTTTGGGAGGACTGTAGCACATAGATAAATGAGGGCCTAGGAATAATTGTCTCAGTTCTCAATGTTTGTTCTTTTTAGTGGTGGTCATGAGGAATCCCCTTCAGCACACACTGTTAGGTTTCTTTTTGTTGTTTTGAGGGAATGGATGAGAGGGACCAGTTTTATAGGCTCATCTTTAACTAAAAGGAACTTTGGCAATACAAACAAGTACCATGTAACAGACTCAACATAGTGTAGATCTGAGCTAAGTTAAAGGTAGCATCTTTTATAGTAGTCTTCCAATCTTGAAGGAATATGCTGTATCATCTATGTGACTTGTGTCTACAGGTCTTGTATCCATTCATTGGACTTTTTTCCAAAGAGCTTTGTTTGAATAATTTGATACTGCTAGATTTATAAAATATAACATTATGGAACATTTTTTGGTACAATACCTTCCATTCACATTCATTGCTTTCAGTGGTGAAGGTAAATACTAATTCAGATTTATTAAGGGACAGGCGGGTCCAATGATACACATACTAAACAGTCTCAGTTTAAGGATAAATAAAATACAGTTACATATGCTGGTACTGCAACGTGTTATTTATCAAGAGGGGCTTGAGAGATGAATCAGTTATTCAGAGAGTATACTGCTCTTCCAAAGAACCTGAGTTCGGTTCCCAGCACCCACACCAGGTGACTCACACCTGCCTGCAACTACGGCTCCAGGGGATCCAACAAACCTGGCCCCCATGAACACCTGTACTCACATGCACTCACAGACACACACACACACACATCATTAAAATAAAAAGAATCTTTTTTTAAGGTACTAAGAAAGTGTAAATGGTGGTGAGGGACCATGTTATTTGCATCATTGCTGAGAAAATATATTATCTGAATAAGTTTAAATCAGTTCAAGGGAAAAATACTCAGTGTTCATTTTCTATGAAAGTCCTTCACTGGGTAACACTGTCTTATAATGAATGGATTAATAAAATTTTACTGAAAACAAAAAGCAGGCAAAATACATATGGGTGTTTTTCCTCTTGGTATGGCTCATTGAATTATGGGAAATGGTTGCCAGTTTTTTTTTAATGTTTCTGTTCTAAACACAGTTTACTGTTGAAATCTCTGTAAATCTTTTACAGATTTTTTAATAGGAAGAACTATAGTCATCAGCCTTTGACACAGTTTTATTTGTGCTCTGTGCACAGCACTCTTGACCACTGGCTTGTAAACCAGACTGGCTCTGTGATCTTTGGATATGTTATGTAGAGCCAGAAGCCAGCAAGTCTCCGGGAACACATCCATGGGCACAGACAGGCCTTTACCTCTTACTCCTTTCTGTGGGTGGTGGTGGTGGTTTGGTTTTTTTTAAAATAATTTTTTCTTGATGGACATAGTTCAGTCATTTTACAAAAAATAGTTATGAGATTAATTATAGAGTCATTCTTGCTCTGTCTGTTTTATTTTAAGACACACGAGCTCCACTGACTTCTCTTATTGCCTTTTGTTTTCTCTCTCTCTTCCTGCACAAGCACTCCTATCTGGACAGGGAAACCTCCCTTCTTCTGCGAAACATTGCAGGAAAACCTTCTCATTTGCTGACCAAGGTGACGCCACTGTCTTCCACGTGCATGTAACTATTCACTGCCTGTAGACGGAATCTGGTCTCTGGTTGGGATTGTATTCTCCGTATCTCTCTTTTATTATGTAGTACCACTGTCTTCCACGTGCATGTAACTATTCACTGCCTGTAGATGGAATCTGGTCTCTGTTTGGGATTGTATTCTCCGTATCTCTTTCTTATTATGTAGTACCACTGTCTTTAGTTCATGGTGCTTTTCCTCTTGCTAAAAGTAATTGTCTTCCTAAGCTAATGACTGTTAATATTCAGAGCCAAGAATATGTTCAGTAATTTCCCCTTGTTTCTAACTTCTGCAGATGCCTAGTGTTCTTCCAAGTGTGTTAAACTTTTTCTAGTGTAATTTTCTATTGCATTTCAAGGCCTAAAAACATCGCTTTAGTTTAACTTTTGCTATTAATGGTTTTATGCTATGGGTTTCTTTTGCAAGCTTTACAACCCTTGCTTACATTATTACCTCGGGTTTAATTCCAGCACATAATGCATAGACAGAGTTTTGATTTATATTAACTTAGTCTTACTGAAAGAAGATCACAGTGTGAATTTCTCAGTTTTCTATCTCAGTTTGATTCAGTTCAGCTGGATTTTGCTGGGATACTGTTTTACAACTTAAAATCTTTCATCAGTTCTCATTAGTAACTAGGTAACAGTCATTAAGGAGCTGGATGGCTGTTTTCTTAATCATTGTGTTAATAATTATCTTATTTAAATAGCACAGTGTTAAGTTCAAGAATGCCAGACGTATAATTTCTGAAGAATAAACAGTGTAGAGCCTATGTGTGTTATTATATCTGAGAGGATTTTTCCTTTCATTTATTCATATTCATAGCATAAACTTTGGAAAGAAGGTAACTGACTAAACTCAAAATCCCTCTAAGAAGCAGCTCAAAGAAAAGACCCCTTGACATAATAAGTAGTGAGACCTTTTTTCCCCCTACATTTCCTTTCTAAAACAAATCCAGAATCAGAAACATAAAGGTCAGAGCAGTAAAGAAATCGAAGCAGGTTCCATTCAAGTACTTTCTAGCCCAAGAGTCTACCATCATAGCTTAACTAGGGTCTGTTCCAGAAGAGAGTGCTAGCTCTTGCGTGTCCACTGTCTGTCTGTCTGTCCCCTGCGTTTCCAGATAGTTGACAGCTGTTAGGGGTTCCTGACTATTACCAGCATCTTAGTCACTAACACTTAAATTCCCCAGAAGCTCCCCATCTTCTCCCTGGGCCCACAACTCCCTACCAGTGGCACAGGCTGAGCATTCTGCCCAGCTGTCCTAGACTTCTCACTTAGCATCTCAGATCCACAATGAGCCTGTTGGCATCCTCAGAGTCTACTGGATTTCCCGTCTGTTCCGTTCCCCTGGCCTCCACCACACCAGCAATCCCTTAGCGCTTACCCGAGCACTAGAGTTGTCTAACTTTGTCCCTCATCTCTTTCTTACACTGTTCCAGATGGAGCTGAACGTTTCTCTTGCCTGTTTGTCTAGTCGTCTGTATTGACCCTGAACTATGAAGTAGACTAGTTAGTGTACAGCACTGTAAAATGGACACGTTCCTTATTCTTAAGGGGTACACAGTCTGTTATAAAGATAAAATAGCCAGGCACTGTGGTACACACCTGTAATCTTAGCACTGGGATTTAAAGGCAAGTGGATCAGGAGTTCAAGGCTATTCTCAGCTATCCAATGAATTTGAGGTCAGCCTGGGACTATAGGAGACCCTATCGTGTGTGTGTGTGTGTGTGTGTGTGTGTGTGTGTGTGTGTGTACACATATGCATACACACACATAAAAAAAGCTAAATTATGTTAAGTACTGTGAAGGGAACAAAGAAGTAGAGACGCCTATGGAGAAGATAAACAATCAGTCTCACTGATGCCGAGGCCAGAAAAGGCGTTTTTGGTAGATGGAATTGAAGCTAAAGTCTAAAGGGTGAAAGAAGCCGGCCTGAAAAGAGAGGCATGTTCCATGTGAGTAGGCCGAGGGCACAGGGGTCCGACTCGAGAAGGAGCGAGAGTCTGTAGAGCTGAGACGACCGTGAGACGACCGTGAGATGAAGTGGAGCTACGAGTGCTTTGCTTTGGGCTGATAAACGTGAACAAAAGCCAGATCATTCGAGGCCTGCTCGGACGTTGACATTTCTCTAAGGGCAGTGGAAGCTGGTGGGGGAAGTAGCATTATCCGTTCGGTTCATATTCATTGGGTACCTTCTATGTGCCAATGTCTATGGTCCTGGGAATTATAGGCAGTAAACAAGTTCTTCACACGGAAAGAATTGTACTTGGTAAGTTTGAGAGTAAACGTAGTAGTAACTTCCCATCCCCTTCTGCCAAGGAAACTGTCGTGCAGACTGAAATATGAAAACTTTCTACCTACAGCTTAGAGGGCATTGGCAGTGTATCTGCTAGCAACATCTGGGTTGCTAACCAGAGATACCACAGCATAAGGAGGAATAGTATAGTACCCTGCTTGTGCAGTAGAAATTTGAGCAAGAATGTGATTCAGTAGTGTGGAACCTAAACACTTAAGAACGGACTTGGGATGGCATCATGGAAGAGGCGGCATATGTTCCTAAGCAACCCAGACCGTAGAGCTGAGATGAACCTTACTCTGAGGTTGTCGGTGCCCTCTATCAGAGCACCTGCCTCTCAGGAACTATGTGCCCTTCCTTCTTTGGTGCTGGGCATTGAATCCTGAACTTTTCATATACCCAACATGTCCTCTGCCATTGAGCTCTCCCTTCAGCCCCAGGTATATGTACCACTAACATACCAACCTACGGAGTAGTCTGGCTTTCTACCAGAAAGCCTGGTACCCCAGTTCCCAACCTCCAGATGTCTACCAGAGTTTAAGAGCTATGCTAGTAGTAACCTTCGTTTTATCTGCTTCAGAAAAGATGCTAAAATACTTTTACATTATGTCTTTAACAAGTACTTTTATTTATTGATACTCCAAAAGCCAAGGCTATAAACCATTAGGACAATAGAAACTGAGGTTATAGTATAATGAATATGTAGTTAAGTAGTTAATAAATATGTGTATGATCTTAAGACAGCAATCTTTATGCATTGTAGTCGGCACAGTGACTATAATAATCACACAAGCCTTGTATTTTTTAATTTAAATTACATATCATATACAACATAACTTGTGGTTCAGCAAATTTTAGATAATTAATGTTAGTTCTCTTGACTAGAGTTTAATATAATTTCATGATTTCTTCAGAGAGACAGTTAGCTATAATTACTTTGATTCTGGGCGGCATTATACAGTAGAGCATCCAGTGAATATTAAATTATCACTTCAAGTTCTCTTTGAGTTCATTGGTTACTTTTTCATTGTTGCAGTCTTCCAGAGAAATTGCAAACCACTGTTTAGCTCCTGAATGTCGTTATGTTTGTTCTGAACCTATAAAGTCTTAGCTTCTCCACTGAAGTCATTCACTGTCCCTCTCTGAGCAGCGGTAACTCTCTAAGTACTGATCTTCTGATCTTGACACCCCAGAGAATGTGTCACTTTGTAACCCAGCATTGGTTTTCCTTTAATCACGAGATCTTTACCCTGTTTTTGTGCTATGTGCAAATTTGAGGAGGCTTGGCATTTGATGGCTGGTGATAGCCACACAGGAGTTTTTCAGTAGAGAATGGGTTGTCTCTTGCTCTTTTAAGAGAAGAAGTAGGAGAGAAAGTTGTTTTTATATGAGTGAGGTATCTCTTACTATGTCTAGGATAGCTGTGAGACAACATGAAGAAAGGACTAGTCAGAAAATATGGGGCAGAAGACTGAACATCTGAGCTGGTCAGCAGAAAATACAATGGAGGAAGCTTTGTCCTTTGAATTAGTGAACACAGACTAGCATTGCCTTTATAAATAAACTACTGAAAGTCTTCCATGTATTACCTAAACACATCACACAAAGTTGGTGATCTGTCTCCTTACTGCATAACACAAAGAATATGTAAGATGGTTTTCTTTTTTCCAGTATTGCTATGGTTAAAAAAATACAGTATGGTTTAATTAGAAAATGCATACAGAACCCGCAGAGGAAGAGCATGAGGCCCACAGGAAACGTGGATCATGCTACTTAATTGTTTTTATTTATAGTTTGTTCTAGTAGCAATGTTTAGATCCCACTGTGACCAGTTCTGTTTGTTCAAAAAGTTTCTAGAAAGATTACCCTTGTAATAAACTTGAGAAGAATAGACTAAAATTCACCTATTTTGAAATTTAAACAGCTGGCCCTTAAATTTGATAGTATTTCTATAGACCAATTTATAAGGACCTGAGATGTAGCTCAGTGGTAGGTACTTGCTTTTCATATGCGAGGCCCTGAAAACAATTTTTAAAAGGAAATTATATTGACCAATTTTTATAGCTAAAAGAAAGGGTGAATTTGAATTTTTTAGGAAAGCTTTATGTAGCTGTTTTGCATTAAAAAATGACTCCTTATTGATGTGTGAGAAGTGTAATTGTAAATATCTGTGAATTGGTTACCCAATTCTCTTACTGTTCAATACTTGCAGTGTGTGGAGCAGGAACTAATCTGAGTTTAATTAAGCTAAACCTGTCATAGATTTGACATACAGTAGTACACTTAAGTAAAATGGGAGCATGCAAACACTATTACTGTATGTCTAACTAACAGAAGTCCAATGTTTCACTTTGTTTATTCTTTTTTAGACATTCTTAGAACTATTTGTAGTTCTGACATGCTGACATACATCATCCATTGCAATATGACAAGCAACAGTTTCACTGCTCTGAAAGGCCTCTAGTTCACCTGATAACCCTGTTTCCTTCTTAACCCCTGACAACCATGAACTTATTACAGCCCCTTCCAGAGCACAATATAGTTAGGATTTCATTATATAACATGTCGCTTTTACGGAATGAATTCTTTTATTTATTAACATGTTTACAATCCCTCTGTGCCCTCTTGTTGCTTGATAGCTCATTTCTTTCTTAGTGCTGAATAATATTTAATTGCCAGGATGTACTTATTAACTTATTAGAGGTCATCTTTGTTGCTTCCAAGTACAGGTAATTATGAATAGAGCATATATAAACATTGTGTGCAGCTAATCTGAGTGAATACATAGAAGCATGGTTACTGGATCATGTGGCAGTGATATGTTTAGATTTGTGAGAATCAGCCAAATTTGTCTCCCAAAGTGCCTGAACCATTCTGTGTTCACTAGTAGCGAACAACAGTTCTTACGTTCCACGTCCTCACCAGCATTCGGAGTTGGTGTTTTGGATTTGGGGCATGGAAGTAAATGTTTAGTAATTTTTTGAATAACTTGCACTTCCCAAAAGACAAGGACTATTGACCATCTTTTCATATATGTATTTTCTGGAGAGATGGCTCAATGGTTAAGAGTTGCTGCTCTTCTAGAGGACCCACGTTTTATTCCCAATCCACATGGTTGGCCCATAACCATCTATAATTCCAGTTTCAGGGAATCCAGTGTCCTCTTCTGACCTCTACAGGCAGTACACACATGGACTACAGTACACACACCACACACAAATACATGAAGGCCAAACACCTGTACACATAAAATAAAATAATGGCAAATTTATTTTTAAATATTTTATTTTTAGATGTTCATGTTTGTATTTCAAATATACAAAGCATTAATTCCAATTCAGTTTCTCCCCAATAGCCTTCAAATTTACTTTTCAGAGACGTAAATGAAACTTGTAAATGAATACATTGGTGAATTTTCTTAATCTACAGCAGTCATTCACATGCCAATAAAACATTGAGGCAATGGTGAATGCTTTTTAATTTTATGAAATCAGTTACATGATTGTTTAAAGTATTTCAAATTTATTATAGAGCCTGGCTGTGTTCATCAACGTTGCATATTTGGTGATTTACTTAATAATGATTTTGTTTTTCAGTTCTAGAAGACCCCATTCTAGAAACAATTTTAATAATACTAGCTTAAGTTTCTTACAGCCTGTTTTTCAAAAAAAATCTTATATTAAATGTAATCTACATATTTTATGATGCTATTTATTTTCATAAAGAAGAGGACTGGATTGTTTAATCTTTTAGTCAGAGGAACATATCTGTAATAGTACAAGAATTAAGTATTAATCCTCTTCATTATCAAAATAAAGTTCTTTGTTCTTTAACTGTTGGGTTTCCAGGCCTCGGTCATTCTGTTAATTCAGTGGCTCCATTCATTGAAAGGGATCCAATTTCTGGACAGAAGCTCACTGCCTTCCCCTGCCCCCGTCTCTCTAGGCCACGGTAGTAACAGAAGCTTGTAAGGAGACACAGCCTAGTAGGAAATGGAGAGAAGAAAGCCATCGTAATTTTAGTGAATAGAAAAAAAAAAATCAGTAAATGGATTATCTTTTTTTTTTTTTTTTTTTTTGTCCTCTACCCTGGAAGTGTTAGCTTTTTATGAAAACTAACACACATGGGTTGTGGGGTTTTGGGCACAATCCAGAGAGGATAAAATTTGGCCCATAAAATTAGGTTTTCCTTTTTTTTTGTTTTTTAAAGACAGACATATAAAAGGATTATAGAAGATGGCAGTTATATGGATATTTAATGTTTTGTAACAGTAATCAAAAGCTTAGAAATAGAAAATAATCCTTTATAAACAGAAGTTTACTTATATGAGTTTTTTTAATTGGAAATTACAGCTACAGTGTTTATTATGGCCTATTGCTGGACATTACCAGTAAGTATGAACTAGTGTAGAATACTGTGTGCTATTAGAAAAATGGACAATGCTTTATTTTTAGTTCTGTATAATTTTTACTATAGTTTATAATAGGTTTTCTAAAGTAGAATTACTTACAACTGGGTTATCTGTAAAGTTACATTTGGCACTTTAAAAGAGCTTAATGATGGGTTAATGAATTAGAATTTACTGACATGTTGTGTTGCGTGATTTTCCAAATCAGTAAAACTTAAACTATAAGGCAGCCTCTTGTTTGTATTAGCCTATTAACGAGAATTAATATTAGTACCTATGCTTCTTATTTGTTAAGGAGTTTATGTTATTGAAAATAAACTGGATTGTTTTTTTTTTGCCGTATATATTTTTACAGTGATCTTAAATTTCCAGTGTAACAAGACAAAACTCTGTAAAAATCTTGCATAAACTCTGGAGGGAGTCTGAATTCAGAGTGATGTGAGTGCAGCAAACAGGAAGGCAGGGGGCATTAGTCATCGTATTTCCCCAAATCCATTACTTGAAAGTCACTTGCTTTCATTATGTTGACAGAGTGGAACTTAATTTACTGCATCACGGATTTCTTTTTTCCTCCGGAATATGGGATCTAATCTTACTCTCGCACCTGTTACAATATGTCCACTTCATTCTGTAAACAGGGCCGTTTTAAAAATGGAGCATTATGTTCTTAGGGAAATTCAGTCCTAGCCCCTGTGAGGATGAAGCCTTCTCCGGTGTCCACACCCTCTCGGCAGCAGTTGATCTGAAATGCTCTGTGTTTGCAGGAGGAACAGGCGGCGAAACTGAAAGCTGAGAAGATCAGAGTTGCCTTGGAGAAAATTAAAGAGGCCCAAGTCAAAAAGGTGAAAAGGTGGCGTGCGGCTCTGCGGGGTCTGAAATGGTTACCGCGTTCCCGTTTCCTTTTGCTTTGTGAAGGAGTCTCTTGTTTCTATATAGTGTTCCTCTGGTTTGTGGAAAGGTGGAAATGTGTTCTTTCTGTTATCTGTTCACGTGTGGGTTTGTGGGTGAGGTGTTTCAGGAAAGCCAGCCTTTGTTTCTGGGCAGGTCCTGAGTGCCTGACTCAGGCCCACTGCTTGTGGCACGTCTGATCTGTATTGTCGCTCAGATATTAAATAAAGGCTTCTCGATACTTTCAAAACAAACACAAATCAGTAGGACAGAATCATCTTAGCACAATAATTTATATTTTAAAGGCTTAAAATTTATGTAGGCAGGTTTCTTGATATTCAGGTTTTACCTTTAATAGTAAGATCAGCATAGTCATAATATGTCTTCATTTATTTTTAAAGACTTGAATCAGAATGCTATTTAACACTGGAAAAATACTTTCCTAGAATACCATTTTAAGTTACCATTTAATTGCATTTTTACCTGTTGCAGCTGGTGATCAGGGTCCACATGTCTGATGACAGTTCTAAAACAATGATGGTGGATGAGAGACAGACAGTGAGACAAGTACTGGATAACCTGATGGACAAATCTCACTGTGGCTACAGTTTGGACTGGTCACTGGTGGAGAGCGTTTCTGAGCTACAAATGGGTGAGGAGTACGACTGCTTCACTGCCTCGTAGTGTCTGTGTGACCCTAAGTCTTCATTTGATAGGAGCATCTTGAGATGTTTATGCTTTTCTTTCTATAAAATTATCAGGCACTTTATCTTATTTAAATATGGCTTTTTAATGTTTTTCCTAGTGTATCTGAAGAGTTCTTTGAATAAAAGATGAATTCCAGTTCACTTCGGGTTTTTAAAATGATTAAAGCAAAGTTTTTGATTTTTTGTTTTGTTTTGTTTTCTTTTGTTTTTCCGAGACAGGGTTTCTCTGTGTAGTTTTGGTGCCTGTCTTGGATCTCGCTCTGTAGACCAGGCTGGCCTCGAACTCACAGAGATCCGCCTGGCTCTGCCTCCCGAGTGCTGGGATTACAGGCATGCACCACCATGGCCTGGCTCTACCTTTGGCCTCTGCACTCACAAAGATTCTGTAATTCTGATAGGCTTTATCTTGCCTTTTATGTAATTCTGGTGAATACTAACAAAGAGCTGGTATTTAATTTTGGAACAGAGAGAATCTTTGAAGACCATGAAAACTTGGTTGAAAATCTTCTTAATTGGACAAGAGATAGTCAAAACAAGCTTATATTTATGGAGCGTATAGAAAAATATGCACTTTTTAAAAACCCACAGGTAAGCCTGACTAACTTATATGCTGAGTCATAGACTGGCAGCCATATGATTGGGCATTGTAGCTGCAAACCCCTACAAGAGCATTCATTACTACTGAGGTGGACAGGAACTTGGGGGCCAGGTGTTAGGCCTCAGGAACGTTCCCAGTCCCACACAGGGTGAACTTTGATAGAAATGCAAATAGTTCCAGGAGATCACTAGGTTTCTTCTCTGTAAATCCAGAGTTTGGTGAACCCAGCAGTTCGTTAACATTTGAGGCTCTTATTTCACCAAAGTGGGCCAGGGGGTTTTATCTAGCTAATTGTTTTCATTTCTTTGCTGAATTACATAATACCTCTGTTTGACATCTTTTATTATGACAATGTAATGTTTGGGTTAGGATTCACAACACTTGTGCTTTGAAAATTAGCAGACTAAAGTAATGTGCTTCCTTATAGCATTTCCAGACATCCTTTATTCTTTTTGTCCTCCTGCTTCTCCCCATCCCCCTCTCTCCTCTCCCCTCCCCGTCTCCTGTCTGTCCACTTCCACCCCAGTCGGTCAAGAAAAGCAAGAGCTCTGTGATAAAGAGCAGTCAGGTTCCACTCCTCAGACTTAATCGTGTTGTTTAATGAAGAATGTATGTTAGGAAGTGTCGATAGATCTTTTGTAATCATCATACTAATGATTACAGTTCAGACTTTAATTAAACCAAGCAAATGCGACTGTTAGAGCCATAGCAGAATTTGAGATTTCCTCTTAAAAAGCCAGAATATTAATCATCATCTGGAACAGCATGCTAGGTCCAGAATAGAACTATGCTGGCTTAGCATATCTCAGGAAACCTTTCCCGATTTCTTCTACTTAATTTCTAATGCTTTTGGGTATTTTTATATAACAATTAAATATCTCAAATACTTGGTGCAGAATGGGTTTACCCTTGCCGTTTTGCCTCACTCTTTCTTTAGAACTATCTTCTTGGGAAAAAGGAAACGGTTGAAATGGCAGACCGGAACAAAGAAGTGCTGTTAGAGGTATGGCTCCCTCTCCCTTCCGCACATTTAACAGCCAAGCGTCAGCATCTTAGGAAGTCAGCTCTGTCTGTGTGTGCCTGATGAAACCTCTAACAAATCTCTTACAAACTATTTTTTTTTTTTTGCCGAGCAATATTCTGTGGATTAAAAGGAGTCATGACCTTTTAAGGGTTTCCAGGTAGGAGGAAGAAAATATGGCTGTGCTGTTACACCAGCGTTTCCTACAGTCAGGTGGCCCGCCAGTAGCACTTTCTGAGCAAGCATGGAGACGCTCCAGCCACCTACACGAGAGCCAGGCAGGGCAGTGTGCATTCGTAGTTGAAGCAGATTCCTGGTGGGCACAAACCAGCCGGCCTAGCCTCGGCGCTCTCGGCTCAGTGAGAGACCTTGTCCCAGAAACTAAGGTGGAAGGCAGCTGAGGAAGATTCCTGACATCAGCCTTCAGCCTCCACACGTGGACGTGCTTATCACCACACATCCCAAACACGCGAAGAAGAAGTGGGACTCAGTAGTGTTATATGCAACTCAGTCAAGTCAGAGGGAAATAGTCTTTTTTGTTTGATTGGTTTTTGGTTTTTGTTTTGTTTTGTTTCGAGACAGGATTTCTCTGTGTAGCCCTGGCTATCATGGAACTTGCTCTATAGACCAGGCTAGCCTCAGACTTACAGAGCTCTGCCTGCCTCTGTCATGACTATAATAAAGACTATTTCCCACTGGGCAGTGGTGGGGCACACCTTTAATTCCCAGCACTTTGGAGGCAAACCTTTTTGTGGTGTGGTGTGTGTGTGTTGTGTATGTATGTACATGGGCATTCAGGATTACACATCCCTATCTGCAGACACAGGCTAGAGGAGAATGCCAGGTGTCTTCTTCGTCTCTCTCTCTCTACCTTAGTCCCTCTGAACTGGATGCCCACCTTTTTAGCTAGATTGGCTACCCAGCAAGTACTTGCAGCCATACCCAGCTTTTTGTAAGTGGTGGGATTCAAACTGTGAGGTCCCATGACACATTTTTAATATTAAACACTTTCGGATTGCTACAGTAATTCTAAAGTAAATTTCTGCTATGTTTAGAATAGAAAGTTCTTTCAGAAAGCTAGTGCAGTTTTAATACAAAACTGTTTTGCTTTACCTAGTGTTATGCATCTCACAGGAGTAGATAATTCATTTTCTGAAAATACAAGGATCATAAATCTTTCCAAATGGTTTTTTTTTTTAAAGGAATGTTTTTGTGGAAGTTCTGTAACTGTCCCAGAAATTGAAGGAGTCCTTTGGCTGAAAGACGATGGCAAGAAGTCCTGGAAAAAGCGTTATTTTCTCTTGCGAGCGTCTGGCATCTACTACGTCCCTAAAGGAAAAGCAAAGGTATGTCCCTTTTCTGCACCTCTGTAATCCCCACGTAATGCCAGCTGCTTTTCCTCCTTAGTAAGAGTGCTATTGTACCTGTGTAGGACACTCAGAAGATCGTTTTGTTTACTCGTCTGTCGTAAAGAAGATATTTTGTTTCTTGTGTTGTAAGAAGAGGAGGCTAAGGACTGTTCACTTCTCTGCTCATTAGTTGCTCCATCTCAATTCTCTACCGTTTTTTCCTGTTTGGATTTGTTGTTAAGGGAGGATTGTATCCGTGGAGCTCAGGCTGGCCTCAGACTCACTCTGTAGATCAGGATGACACTGAACTCTTGGTCCTCTTGACTCCTCCTCTTCCACTTCCCAGGTGCTGGGGTTACAGGTGTGCATCAGCACCTCAGCTAAACGTAGTTTTATTGTTTGGGGGCCAGGGGGAGGTCATGCTGGAGTTGTGGGAATTTCATTTAGGGAGAATGGCTTTCCAGGATCACATTGACTTCAATCTTGAGTAATGTGCTTTTGCTGAGGACTAGGCTGTCATTTGTTCTTATTTGGGTTCAGAGCTGTTCTAAGCATCTGCAGTGTCATCCTAGTCCTATAAAGTAGAGTGTCAGTTATTATTGCCTCCGCCTGCTCAGGGGTGACTCCCACTTGAGCATCACGGTATTGGAGGTTTGCATTATAGCCATTCAGCTACTTGAGAGAGTCTTGTTTTTTCATACTAAGAGTGTTGCTGTTCTCCTGTTAAAGTACCAACATTTTAAATCAATATTCATTAGGAATTACATATAACAAGCAAAGTAGACTGCCTTTTTGGTTACATTGTAGATGAAGAAAAATCTTATCATCTTACTTTCTACCTAATAAAGGTTTGGTTCTCAACTAAAAACCCTTACCTGGTGTGATACTTGTTTATTTGCATTGTTAAATTGATCTTAGGTATCTCGGGACCTGGTGTGCTTTCTCCAGCTGGATCACGTCAACGTGTACTACGGGCAGGACTATCGGAGTAAATACAGAGCCCCCACAGACTGTTGTCTGGCGTTAAAGGTAACGCAGCTGCATCAGAGAGAGGTCACTTGACATCTTAAAGTAGCTGCTGTGTCTGTGGAAAAGGATGGAAGGACTAGGGATGCCTCAGCAATTAAGCATTTGTTTAGCTCCATCCTAGCACCAGGGAGAACAAGGTAAGGGTAGAGTTTGGCCTAGCAGCTCACACCAATAATCCCAGCACTCAGGAGCATCAGGAGGTGAAAACAGACCCTGTCCTGAAAAACGTTTTTACAGTAAGACATGTATTTTTTGTGGTTTTCCTCAACTTTATTAGTAGAGCCATCAGAGGGCACTGTTCCCAAGTTCAACATTCCCCTGCTTTCCTCTAGCCAAGGAGTAATTCTGTCTCTCCCCTCCCCCCAAGTTCTAGCCACACTAGTAGTCTATTGTCCATACTGTTATTAGGGAATTTCTTCTCTTTCAGTCAGACTTTAAGTTTCTCACACTAATTGTGGCCATGCATTAGAGAAGAGTGGGCATTTTTTAGTATTTTTAGTCATCTGAATTAACGTTTATAAAGATTCAAGAAGAATTATTGAGAGCAGTAAGTTATACTCAGAGGCTCCATCTTCAGGACTCTGGATATTACTTACGTCTGCATGTCTGTATCATACTTTTTTCTGTGAGAAGTCTTAGTTGGGTTTGGGGAGTGCCGTTTGTTTAGAAGTGGAGGTAGGATTCTGATTAGACGACAGGAATGCATCGCTGAGGTTAGTGACAGAAGCAGCTTGGTTTGTTTTTGGTTTTTAACTTGACTTAGATTTTTTGCTTATCTTCATTTTTTTTTGAGACAGTCTTGCAGTGTAGCCCAAGCTAGCTTCAAACCTGGGCTCCTTCTGCCTCAGCCTTTGCATTAAGGGATTGCAGGTGTGTGTCACCTACAGTATCCAATAATCACACAGTATCCAATAATTCTTAAGAAGTTGACACAAGGTAACTTCAGCCAATGGTTTGCAAAATAAAATCCAAGGTCCCTTGGGAAACCGAAGACCATGACAGCAACATTAAGTTTATAATACTGAGATGTTACACGCCTTCCATCTTGTTCTCTCAGTGTGTAGTGGAGTTTCCTCGCAGCTTTCATAATGATATTTTTTCCTGTCTTAACTATTAAGAGGAATTTGGGGACACTTGTGTTCTTCTATCTTAATTTTTTCTCTTATTTTAACTTTTAATAAAGTAAATATTGCAGAGACATAGTAACCTTCAACACTGTCCTCTTGTCCCACCAAAGAGTTTGGAAGAGAGAGAAACCTACACAGTATTGTTCCACCTGTCAGGTGTGACCATGGACTTCTGTCCTGAGTATTGTGCTATATATATTTCTTACATGCCTGGTATAGTTGTTTACCCACAAGGAAGAACCTTCTCCTTTGCAGCTTCTAAACCACGATTTCCTGGGTAAACATTTCTTTTCCATTTTCAGTCTTACAGACTGAGAATTCCACTGATTTAATCTTGATAGAGTTTTTCTTTGATATGTAAAAGGGACTATTTGAGAACTTCCCAAGTAGGAAGGTTTGCATGGACACCTTGACCTAAAATTTGACATGATATATACTTTATTTAAAAAAAAAATAAGTATGAGCTGTTTTATTCCACTTTATGGTTGTATAAGAAGTATGTACTGAGCTGGGCGTAGGGGTGCATGCCTTTAGTCCCAGCACTTGGGAGGCAGAGGCAGGCAGATCTTTGTGAGTGTGAGGCCAGCCTGGACTACAGAGTGAGTTCTGGGACAGCCAGGGCTACACGGAGAAGCCCTGTCTCAAAAAACAAGCAAGGAAAAAATATGCACCATTTACCATTTTTCTAAGACTGTAACTTCTCAGGATATGTTTAAGTGCCAGTTCCCTAGAAGACTTCCCTGGATTCTGCCTTTCCTTGTGCAGCACCCACAGATCCAGAAGAAGTCTCAGTATATCAAGTATCTCTGCTGTGACGATGTGAGGACTCTGCATCAGTGGGTCAATGGGATCCGAATTGCAAAGGTACCTTTCCTTTTCCTTGGAGGCTGGAATAATGAAGGGTTAGTTAGACACTTGGGATTGTTGATGGTGGTTCTGGTTGTTGCATGCTTATCATTTGCTAGTGTCTCGTTTCCTCAGGCCTATGTTCATGTTTTAAATGCCTTTTTTCCTTGGTGGTTGGGGAATATGTTAATGTTGTGAGGCCGGGCCAAGCTCCTCCCCCCTGCATCAAGACTGGGTGAGGCATCCCAGCATGGGGAATATGTAGCTAGAGTTTTCCTGCCTGGCCCACAGTCAAGACAAATCTCTCTCACCTGCCAGTCCCACAGCCGTCAGACCCAACCAAGTAAACACAGAGACTTATATTGGTTACAAATTGTATGGCTGTAGCAGGCTTCTTGCTAACTGTTCTTACAGCTTAAATTAATCCATTTCCATTAATCTATACCTTGCCACATGGCTCGTGGCTTCCCGGCATCTTCACATGCTGTTTGTCATCACGGTGGCTGGCAGTGTCTCTGACTCAGCCTTCCACTTCCCAGCTTTATTCTCCTCCTTGTCCCACCTACACTTCCTGCCTAGCCACTGGCCAATCAGTGATTTATTTATTGACCAATCAGAGCAACACATTTGACATACAGATCATCCCACAGCAAGAATAGGTTCCAAAAAGCCAGCCTATGTGACAGGGACAGGTGCAGATCCCACTGCTGGGGCCCCACAAACAGACCAAGCTACACAACTGTCACCCACATGCAGAGGGCCTAAGTCAATCCCATACAGGTTCCCTAGCTGTCAGTCCAGAGTCCCTGAGCTCCCATGAGCTCTGGTCAGCTGTCTCTGTTCGTTTCTCCATCATGATCTTGACCCACCTTGCGTATATAATCCCTCCTTCCTCTCATCAACTGGACTCCAGGGACTCGAACCTGTGCTTGGCTGTGGATCTCTGCATCTGCTTCCATCACTTACTGGATAAAGGCTCTTTGATGATAATTAGGGTAGTCACCAATCTAATTAAAGGAGAAGGCCAGTTCAGGCACCTTCTCCACTATTGCTAGGAGTCTTAGCTGGGGTCATCCTTGTGGACTCCTGGGAATTTGCCTGGCACTAGGTTTCTCCCTAACCCAAAAATGACCCCTCTATCTAGATATCACTTTCATTATTCTCCCTCTTCATCCCGCCCCCAACTTGATCAGTCCAATCCCTCATGTTCCCATGCTCCCATCCTGTCCTCCCCCCCCCCAACCCCCAGTTTACCCAGGAGATCTCATCTATTTCCCCTTCCCAGGGAGATCCATGCATCCCTCTTAGGGTCCTCTTTGTTACCTAGTTTCTCTGGGGCTGTAAATTGTAGCCTAGTTATCCTTTGCTTTACATCTGCTATCCACTTATGAGTGTCTGGGTCTGGGTTAACTCACTCAGGATGAATTTTTTCTAGTTCCATCAATTTGCCTGCAAATTTTATGATGTCATTGTTTTTTTACTGCCGAGTAATACTCCATTGTGTAAATGTACCGCATTTTCTTTATCCATTCCTCGGTTGAGGGGCATCTAGATTGTTTCCAGGTTCTGGCTATTATGAATAAAGATGCTATGAACATAATTGAGCAAGTGTCCTTGTGGTATGATTGAGCATCCTTTGGATATATGCCCAAGATTGGTATAGCTGGGTCATGAGGTAGATTGATTCCCAATTTTCTGAGAAACCACCATAATGATTTCCAAAGTTTCTGTACAAGTTTGCACTCCTGCCAGCAGTGGAGGAGTGTTTCCCTTACTCCACAGCCTCTCCAACATAAGCTGTCATCAGTGTTTTTGATCTTAGCCATTCTGATAGGTGTAAGATGGTATCTCAGAGTCATTTTGATTTATATTTCCCTGATGGCTAAGGATATTGAACACTTCCTTAAATGTCCCAGACATTTGAGATTCTTCTGTTAAGAATTCTATTTAAATCTGTACCCCATTTTTTAATTAGATTATTTGGTATTTTGATTTTTAGTTTCTTGACTTCTTTTTATATTTTGGAGATCAGCCCTCTGTCAGATGTGGGGTTGGTGAAAATATTTTCCCATTCTATAGACTGCCATTTTGTCTTATTGACAGTGTCCTTTGCCTTATAGAAGCTTCTCAGTTTCAGGAGGTCTCATTTCTTAATTGTTGCTCTCAATGTCTGTGCTACTGGTGTTATATTCAGGAAGTGGTCTCCTGTGTCAATGCATTGAAGGCTACTTCCCACTTTCTCTTCTATCAGGTTCAGTGTAGCTGGATTTATGTTGAGATCTTTGATCCACTTGGACTTAAGTTTTGTGCAGGGCGATAGATAGATACAGATCTATTGCTTCCTTCTACATGTTGACATCCAGTTATGCCAGCACCATTTGTTGAAGATGCTTTTTTTCCATTAAATAATTTTGGCTTCTTTTGCAAAAATCAGGTGTGTGGATTTACATCAGGGTCTTCAGTTGGATTCCATTGATCCACACCTGTCTGTTTTTATGCCAATACCATGCTGTTTTTATTTCTATAGTTCTATAGGAGAGCTTGAAGTCAGGAATGGTGATACCTCCAGAAGTTCCTTTATTGTACAGGATTCTTTTAGCTGTCCTGGATATTTTGTTTTTCCATATGAAGTTGAGTATTGTTCTTTCCAAGTCTGTGAAGATTTGTGTTGGAGTTTTGCTGAGGATTGCATTGAATCTGTAGATTGCTTTTGGTAAGATTGCCATTTTTACTATGTTAATCGTACTGATCCATAAGCTTGGGAGATCTTTCCATTTTCTGATATCTTCTTCAATTTCTTTCTTCAAAGACTTGAAGTTCTTGTCATACAGGTCTTTCACTTACTTGGTTAGAGTTACCCCAAGATATTTTATATTATTTATGGCTATTGTAAAGGGTGATGTTTCTCTATTTCTTTCTCAGCCTGTTTATCATTTGTATATAGGAGAGCTACTGATTTTTTTTTTTTAGTTAATCTTTTATCTAGCCATATTACTGAAGGTGTTTGTCAGCTGTAGGAGTTCTCTCATAGATTTTTTGAGGTCACTTATGTATACTATCATATCATCTACAAATAGCAAAAGTTTGGTGGCGCACGTCTTTAATCCCAGTACTCGGGAGGCAGAGCCAGGCGGATCTCTGTGAGTTCGAGGCCAGCCTGGGCTACCAAGTGAGTCCCAGGAAAGGCGCAAAGCTACACAGACAAACCCTGTCTCGAAAAACCAAAAAAAAAAAAAAAAAAACAAACAAATAGCAAAAGTTTGACTTCTTCCTTTCCAGTTTGTATCCCCTTGATCTCCTTTTGTTGTCTTACTGCTCTAGCTAAAACTAGTACTGTATTGAATAGCTATGGAGAGAGTGGACAGCCTTGTCTTGTTCCTGATTTTAGTGGAATCACTTTGAGTTTCTCTCCATTTAATATGATGTTGGCTGTCGGCTTGCTGTATATTTCTTTTATTATGTTTATGTATGTTCTTTGTATTCCTGATCTCTCCAAGACTTTTATCATGAAGGGGTGTTGGATTTTGTCAAAGGCTTTTTTGGCATCTAATAAGATGATCATGTAGGGGTTTTTTTTTTCCTTTCAGTTTGTTTATATGGTGGATATTGACAGATTTTTATATGTTGAACCATCCCTGCATCTCATGCCTACTTGATCATGGTGGATGATTTTTTTGATGTTTCTTGGATTCAGTTTGCCAGTAGTTTATTGAATATTTTTGCATCAATGTTCATGAGGGAGATTGGTCTGTAATTCTTTTTCTTTGTTGCATCTTCCTGTGGTTTGGGTATCAGAGTAAATGTGGCTTCATAAAAACAATTTGGCAGTGTTCCTTCTGTTTCTATTGTGTGGAACAATTTGAGGAGTATTGGTATTAGCTCTTCTTTGAAATTCTGATAGCATTCTGCACTGAAACCATCTGGCCCTGGGCTTTTTTTTTTTTGTTTGGGAGGCTTTTAATAACTGTTCTATTTCCCTTAGGGGTTAAATAAAGGTCTATTTAAATTGTTTCTCTAGTCTTGATTTAATTTTGGTATGTGTTACCTATGAAGAAAATTGTCGCATTTCTTTTAGATTTCCAATTTTATGGAGTACAGGTTTTTGAAGTGTGAGTCTCTAGATTTCCGGAGTGTCTGTTGTTATGTCCCCCTTTTTTACTTCTGATTTTGTTAATTTGGATATTATCTCTCTGCCTTTTGGTTAGTTTGCATAAAGGTTTATCTACCTTGTTGATTTTTCTCAAAGAACCAACTCTTTGTTTTATTCTTTGTGTTGTTCTCTGTTTCTGATTTATTGATTTCAGCCCAGAATTTGATTATTTCCTGCCAAGTGAATTTGATTATTTCCTCCTCCTGGGTGAATTTGCTTCTTTTTGTTCTAGAGCTTTCAGGTATTCTGTTAAGTTGCTCGTGTAGGATTTCTCCAAATTCTTTATATAGGCACTTAATGCTATGAACTTTCCTCTTAGCACTGCTTTCATAGTGTCCAATAACTTTGGGTATGAGCCGGGTGGTAGTGGTGGTGTATGCCTTTAATCCCAGCATTCAGGAGGCAGAGGCAGGCGGATCTCTGTGAGTTTGAGGCCAACCTGGGCTGCAGAGTCAGTTCCAGGAAAGGTGCAAAGCCACACAGAGAAACCCTGTCTTTAGAGAAAAAAAAAAAACAACTTTGGGTATGTTGTGGATTCATTTTTATTGACTTCTAGGAAGTATTTCATTTCTGTCTATTTCTTCCTTGACCCAGTGGTGATTCAGTTGAGAGTTGTTTAGTTTCCATGACTTTGTAGGCTTTCTGTAGTTTGTATTGTTGTTGAACTCTAATTTTAACCCATGGTGATTTAATAAAATACAAGGGGTTATTCCAGTTTTTTTGTATCTGTTGAGATTTGCTTTGTAACTGAGTATGTGGTCAATTTTAGAGAAGGCACCATGAGGTACTGAGAAGAAGGTATATTCTTTTGTGTTTTAGTGAAATGTTTTGTAGTTGCCTATTAAGTCCATTTGAGTCATAACATCTGCTAGTTCCCTTGTTTCTCTGTTAAGGTTCTGTCTGGCAGACCTGTCCAATGGTGAGAGTTGGGTATTGAAGTCTCACTTTTTGTTTTGTTTTTTTCGAAACAGGGTTTCTCTCTGTAGCTTTAGAACCTGTCCTGGAACTTGCTCTGTAGACCAGGCTGGCCTCGAACTCACAGAAATCTGCCTGCCTCTGCCTCCCAAGTGCTGGGATTAAAGGCATGTGCCACTACCGCCCAGCTAGTCTCCCACTATTAATGTGTGAGGTTTGATGTATGATTTAAGCTTTAGTAATGTTTCTTTTACAAATTCGGGTGCCCTTGTATTTGGAACATAGATGTTCAGAATTGAGACTTCATCTTGGTGGATTTTTCCTGTGATGAATATGAAATGTCCTTCTCCATCTCTTTTGATAAATTTTAGTTTGAAGTCTATTTTGTTAGATGTTAGGATAGCTACATCAGCTTGCTTCTTAGGTCCATTCGATTGGAAAATCTTTTCCCAACCCTATTACTCCAAGGTAATGTCTGTCTTTTAAGTTGAGGTGTTTCTTGTATGCAGCAAAAGGATGTATCCTGTTTTTTTGTGTGTGTGTGTGTGTTTTGTTTGTTTGTTTGTTTGTTTTTATCCATTCTGTTAGCCTGTGTCTTTTTATTGGGGAATTGAGTCCATTGATGTTAAGAAATGTTAATGACCAGTGATTGTTAATTCCTGTTATTTTTTGGTTTTGGTGGTGGTGGCGATGATAGTGTGTGTGTTTCCCTTTTTTGGGTTTTGCTGGTATGAAATTATCTATTGCTTGTGTTTTCATGGATATAGCTAGCTAGCTTCCTTGTGTTGGAGTTTTCCTTATAGTACTTTCTATAGGGCTGGATTTGTGGATAGGTATTATTTAAACCTGCTTTTTGTCATGAAATATCTTGTTTTCTTCGTCTATGGTGATTGAAAATTTTGCTGGGTAAAGTAGTCTGAGCTGGCATTCGTGGTCCTTTGGTGTCTGCAGAACATCTGTCCAGAACCTTCTGACTTTTAGAGTCTCCATTGAGAAGTCAGGTGTAATTCTGATGGGTCTGCCTTTATATGTTACTTGGCCTTTTTCCTTTGCAGCTCTTAATATTCTTTCTTTTATTCTGTAGTGTTTTGCTTATTATGTAGTGAGGGGACTTTTTTGGGGGGTGGAGTCCAGGCTATTTGGTGTTCTGTAAGCTTCTTGTATTTTCATAGGCATTTCCTTCTTTAGGTTGGGAAAGTTTTCTTCTTTGATTTTGTTGAATATGTTTTCTGTGCCTTTGAGCTGGGATTCTTCTCCTTCTATTCCTGTTATTTTTATGTATGGTCTTTTCATGGTGAAAAGATTGCCTGGATGTTTTGTGTTGGGAATTTATTGGATTTAACATTTTTTGACTGATGAATCTATTTCTCCTATCATATCTTCAAAGCTTGAGATTCTCTCTTCTATCTTATATTCTGTTAGTGGTGCTTGCATCTGTAGTTCCTGTTTGATTCCCCAGATTTTCCATTTCCAGAATTCCCTCAGTTTGTATTTTCTTTATTGTTTTTATTTCAATTATCAAGTCTTGAACCATTTCCTTCACTTGTTTTTTTTTTTTTCCCTTGGCTTTAAGGGATTTATTAATTTCTTCCAATTTTTTGTCTGGTCTTTTCCTCGATTTTTTAAAGGAATTTTTCATTTCCTCTTTTAGGGCCTCTCATCTTGATAAAGTTGTTTTGAAGGTCATTTTCTTGTGTTTCAGCTGCATTGAAATGTTCAGGTCTTGCTGTTGTAGGATCACTGGGTTCTGGTGGTGCCACACTGCTCTTTCAGTTGTTGAATGTGTTCTTACACTGGCCTTTACTCAACTGCCTATATCTGGGCCGTGCCTGTGTCTGTGTCGTCTATTCTACCCAATGGTTGTGGGTTATGTCTGTGCTGTGCCTATGTAGTCTGCTGGGGTTGCAGAGGAGTGCTGGCCATGGGGAGGATGTTCAGGTGTGAGGGGTTGGGTGGTGGTGGAGTAGGTCTTGGAGGGACAGAGTCTAGTGGGTGGTTGGGGTCGGGGTGCATCCTGGAGGAAAGTTTCTCACATTATATGATTATGTAGCCAAGTTTAGCCTAGGCAGATGGATTTTGTTGTTGTTTGCAGATCTGTCCAGCCCCCAAATAAAGTTTTAAATTACAGTTATTTATCAAGTAGATTTGGAGCAGTGTCCCTGAATAGTGCTAAGAATCTAGTCCTAGATCTCTTGGAGTGATAAAACTTTTATTTCTGTTATAAACACCAATAAAATCGGCTTCCTGCTGCCCTTACAACTAAGGAAAATGAGTACAAGTGTAGCTTTTCTAGAATTAAGGACTATTTAGAGTATTGTGGGTATCAGTACAGACTGAACAAGTACACCAGTGTTTCCCTCCCTTTCTCACATCCTTCTGCACCAACTCAGGGTTAACGTCACCATTTGTCTCCTTTGTTAGTATGGGAAGCAGCTCTACACAAACTACCAAGAAGCCTTGAAGAGGACAGAGTCCGCTTACGACTGGACTTCGTTATCCAGCTCCAGCATTAAATCTGGATCCAGTTCTTCCAGCATCCCAGGTAGTTCACAGTAGCACACAGCACGACTTTACTACCAATCTGATGTCCTTATCAAGAGTGGTAGAACTTGAAATTTCAGCTTGTTTCTAAAAAACCACAGCCATACCTAATTTCTGACCAGTGGATACTTTTTTTTTGTCTTATTTCCCCACAAGGTTATTAAAAGTGCAGTGCTATAAACTAGTTCACAAGCATTTGAAATGCACTTCTAATGCACTGTTACAGTTTATACTGATGACGTGATTTGAAAATTCACGCATACTGATAAGACATGATGCAGAAGCCCCTTGGAGAAGTACTCACAAGCCCTCGGTCAGGACACCGCACTCCTACACGGCTTTCCTGACATTCAGTGCCGTGAAAATAACTTCCAGCTAGTTCAGAACACAGCGAGGCAGCAATTTGAGCTGTCACACTTTTGGTGACACTCAGAGGGGCTTCTAGATCTCCACATCTTTTAAATCAGAATGTCGTACTCACATCTTCAGTTAAATGCTTCTTTCAAAATCTTCCCTGAATGATAATCCATGTCATTCTTTAATGACTTGACATTATCTCTGAATAATAAAAAGCATATTTGGAATTGTGGTACATATATACTAACCTGTGAAGATGTAATGTATATAACCCACGAAAGCACATATTTTCTGGTTCTGTCCATTGAAGGGACCTAGAGGAACTGATACCATAATAATGAGACTGACCACAGTCCAGTCACCAAAAGAGGGACTCAGTGCTGATTCTAAAGCTATGGGAGAGAATATACAAGATGATTCTTAAGCAGAAGGACTGAAAAATAGGATAAGCGTTTCCCAGAGGGACATAGATGCCAACTTGAAAGAGCTTCAGTGCCTAAAGCTGGAATAACTTTGAGCAAAAGAAATATACAATGTAGTATAGAATTATAACCAAATTAGAAGATACATCACTGAATCCAAGATAATGTAATTTCCATACAAAATATTTTAAAGATTTTTTTTGTTTGTTTGTTTTTTTGTTTTGTTTTTTCGAGACAGGGTTTCTCTGTGTAGCTTTGCGCCATTCCTGGAACTCACTTGGTAGCCCAGGTTGGCCTCGAACTCACAGCGATCCGCCTGGCTCTGCCTCCCGAGTGCTGGGATTAAAGGCGTGCGCCACCACCGCCCGGCTTATTTTAAAGATTTTAAATACATTTTTAATTAAAATGTGACATCACCTTCTGTCCCTTCCCTCAGCTCCTTTCATGCCCCAACTCTAAAAAAGATTTATTTTTTTATTATGTGTGTGTGTCTACATGAGTTATGTGTACCATGCACATGCTGGTGCTCATAGAAGCCAGAAGAGGGCATTGGGCCCCTGGATCTAGAGTTATTAGTTGTGAGCTGCCTAATGTGGGTGCTGGGGCAGAATCCAGGTCCTCTGCAGGAAGGGTCCGCTCTAATTGAGCTAGCTTTCCAGCCCCACAAAATATTTCTTTTTTTTTCTTTTTTTATTCTTACATTTATTTTTATTTTTATTTTTTTTTATGCTGAATGCAGTTTATTGAAGGAGGGAGGAGGTCTTAAATACAGGCTTACAGCACAATGGGAGAACCCCGGAGGGCAGAAGTTCGCTACCGATGTTTTACAATCTTGCATCTAAGCTGTTAACGCCCAATATGCAGGATACACAGACAAGGAACTTCCCTTTAGCATTCAGGAGGGTGGAACCAGCAGGGAATTAGCATAGGGAGGATATCAAGGTCAAGGTCAGTAAGCAAGGCAACAGTTACCCAAAACGGGGGCCAGGGTCCTACAGGTCCCCCTTTTACTAAAAAATGAGCTTCTGACTTAGGTTGTGTGGGACGTCAGCAGGTCACCTTACCCATCATGGAGACGCCTGCCCAGGCCACACAGGCGCTCTGTCTTAGGTTGGTGAGTGCCCCCCAGGAATTACCCGTCTCTGAACAAAATATTTCTAAATGATTTCTGTATACACTTTGCCCTCTTAAAGAGCTACACATAGTGATTTCCTTAAAAAGGAATAGGGTTGAGAAAGCAGTAACTTCACAGTGGGGAAAGTAGACAAGCAGCTTTAGTCACAGGGTCCCTTGATACAGTTGATGAGACTTGGCCAGTAGTTCTCAAGACTATCAAAATCACTTTAAAAAAAAAATCAGAGCAACTGTCAGAGGACTCAAGATAACCAACTATAATGTGGCACCCTGGACCAGAGTATGGATACATGAAGTGTGGCTTGTGGTCATTAGTAAATCAGTGTCCACTTCATGGCTGTGGCAAATGCACTATAAATTTAAACAGAATTATGGGACAAGTAGGTGCTGAATCAGTAAGAATTCAGACTTACTCTATTCTTTTTTTTTTTTTTTTTTGGTTTTTCGAGACAGGGTTTCTCTGTGTAGCTTTGCGCCTTTCCTGGAACTCACTTGGTAGTCCAGGCTGGCCTCGAACTCACAGAGATCCGCCTGGCTCTGCCTCCCGAGTGCTGGGATTAAAGGCGTGCGCCACCACCGCCCGGCTTACTCTATTCTAATATGAAAGTAATATATAAAAATCTAAAATGAGATGTTCATTAGAGTGGAAAAAATACTCTGACAAGTTGGACTAGAAAGACGAGGTAAGAAAGCCATGCAGCAAGTAGGATTCAGAGAAGGCCAGCAGGTTGAGGAAAGTGTCTTCTTCTCTGTTTTCACGTCATGCAGCACTTAAGTCCATTTCCTACATTCCCTCAGAAATACTGTGCCTTTCCTTCACTGGTGTCATCGTCCACTTCATTGAAATGTTAGGCTTTCCAGGGAAAACATAAGAGCACAAAGATCCATGTGCTCCAGTCTCACAGTCTATTGTCAGGCAGGGGTAATAAATGAGCTTTAGTGTCATAGATTTTCATCATATTCCTTGTATTACCTTAAGGATAGTCTTAACGAAGAAGTTGGGACTTAGGCTACTAAACTTAGGTTCATAGCTTCCATTCTTCACAAAGTGATTGATGGCTGGGAACAGCTTTGAGTCTCCACTACTTGCCAGGCATCACCTAAGGTACATACATAATTACCTTAGAATCCAGAGAAGTCATCTTTCCAGCCCTTCCAGTCCAGACGTCAGTTTAAGGTGCTTGTTACCCTCAGCCACAACCCCTGTGCCTGCTCCCCACTGTCACCCGGCCTGGAAGCTAGCTGTAGCCTGGCTGCTGCTCAGCAGTGCCAGGACCTAAATCCCTGGGAAAAACACTTTCTTCTCAGTTGGAGGACTCACTAAATACTGTTGATTGCTAGAGAAGGGTCTGAATTTAGAAGCTGCTCAGAAGTGGCCTGAAAAAGACTGATTCTTAAAATAATGTAGATGTAATTGATGGCTCATCAATTTTTTTTTTTTTTAAACCTGTTCAGAGTAGATTTTTATCCAAGACAGGTTTTCAGGGTCCTAATGACTTGTGTCAGTTTCTCATGGTGAACAATTAAAAAAAAAAATTAAAGAGTCAAATTTTCTAACTAACTGTAAGATAAGGTTTTTCTACTAGACTGTATTTTCAGAATCTAGAGTAAGATAAGTCGATTTGCCATTCTACCAGGTACTTAACCGTAACATTTAAAATGCATATCCATAGATCAAATGGTAACTGCTGAAAGTTTAACTCCTTTAAACAGAGTCTCAGTCAAATCACTCCAACCAGTCTGACAGTGGAGTCTCTGACACCCTGCCAACAGGACACGTCCGCTCCCAAAGCACTGTGAGCTCCATCTTCTCGGAAGCCTGGAAGCGTGGTACTCAGCTGGAAGAGTCCAGCAAGGTAACACACGTCAGATTTACATATAAACCTGTGGTCGTCCACTGGCCAAGCTTGTGCTCCTTGAGTCCTTATTAGTCTCATTTGGCATGATTTGTCTTCCTTCTTGGGTCTGCAGTCATCTTCATCAGAATGGGGAAACCATTTGAGAGCTGTCTGTCATGACCAGTGACCTAGGATCTTCATTTTTTAGGGGCAGTTATTTATACACTTGAATCAGCGGCTTACATTTTTAGTTATAACACACACCCCCTTTCAACTGTAACCAGTTGGCTGGAGGACACCATGCAGTGCCATTGCCCTAAAGCTCCAAAGAAGTTGCTCACAATTCTTTTGCATTTTTAACTAATTCAGATTCATTCCTTACTTTCAGTCTTGAGGTATGCCTATAGGCCTCAATAAATTTTCTCAAGCTATGTTTTATACAGAAGGCTAAATTTAAATCATCCTTAAAATTTTGGATTCCTGAATCTTGGACAATATTCAGTAATATTATACAGACTATAATATTGAGAGCTTTTTCTTTTTTTTTAGCATATGAAAATTTCAGACATAAACACAAAGTATTTTAAGAATAACCCCCACTCCTCCCAGAACCACCTCACCTCCTAATCTCATGTCCTTTTTTTTTTTCTTTAAAAAAACCCACTTAGTCCAATCTGTGCTGCTGATAGATACATAGGTGGCTATCCACTGGAACGTGGGTCGTTCTACGGGAGCCACACGGTGACAGAAAACTGGCTCTTCCATTTTCCAGAAGCCATCAGCTGTCAGTTGCTCCCCAGTTAGGGATGGGGGCTCATGAACCCCTTCCCACTCTGCTAGAATGCTAACTGACTTGCTTTGGGGCCGGCAACCCCAGTTGAGTTCATTAGTCCAGCGGTTCTCTCATGCCCTGAAGACATTATTCCACGTGGGTCCTCTCCAGTTTGAACTTTTCCTTCCCCTCTTCCATCACGGTCCCTGCGCCTTGGGGAGGAGTGTTGTGACGTGCAGGCGCCCCACTGTAGCTGGGCCTCCCTGGTCACCTACTCTCTGCACTTGACCTGGTGAATGTCTGCATTCACCACTCTACTGCACAGAGAAACTTCTCTGCTAAGATTTGAGAGCTACCTTAGAGGCTTTGTTAGTTAAGTTGAAAGACATGGTGGTCCTTTGTCAAATAGCCTCAGAATTCCTGTAGAGAGGATGTGTTCTGGCAGTAGTCACCACTTAAACCAGAAAGGGAGTGTTCCACCAAGGAACCAGTGGGGCCCTGCCTGGACTATTTTACTTTTTATACAGTCAGCATTTTGTTTTGGGTTTTTTGTTGTTGTTGTTCTTGTTTTTTGTTTTGTTTTTAGTTTCTTTGTTCTTTTGGTCTGAGTCACAGATACAAGCACATTCACAAATGAGAATCAAAAGGAACATTTAAATTTGTCCTTAAAACAAATTAATTACATAATTTGCATATGTGGTTGATTAACTGGCATGGGGGGGTGGGAGGTATGAAAATCAGTAGTCAGTAATTGGTTTTAATAACCTAAATTACTTAAACACAGTTAAAATTCCCCTATCAGAAAATTTTAATAAATCTCTTCCACCCTAGAGTCTTCTTCCCCAAGTACTGGGGATTGAACCTAGGACCTTGCACATGCTAGGCAAACCCTCTGTCAGGGACCTACTTCCCAGTCTTTTTTTAAATGTTTTGAGATAATCTGTCACACTTAGTTTTCCTAGCTGTCCTTCACCATGTAATCCTCTTGTCTCAGCCTCCCAAGTAGGACTGTGTCACCAATCCCAGTTCCTTGTGAACCAATTTTGATGAAACTAATACTCTAAACATATACTAGAAACAATAGTCTATGTAATTTTAAATGTCTGAAAAATAAAATCTCAGCCTTGGCTGGGGATGTCGCTCAGTAGTAGAGCACTTGTCTAGCATGCACAAAACTCCAGGGTACATTTCCACTGCTATCAAAAACAAAAAGCTTTTACCTTAAAAATGATTAACAGTGAGAGCCAGATGCTCTGTAATTAGGAAACAAGTCTGTCATTGTAGGTTCAGAAAGAGAATGACCCCTGCTCTGCAGTAATGTCAGTTTGTTTGAGTTTTGATCCTTCTGTGTGTTTCTTCTGTTACCTCAGTCTCAGGTGCCACACAAGAAGGCCAGCACAGCTAAGGTCTGCATCCCTGAAGCAGCCGAGACAGGGTCAAGTTAAGGTCAGGGTCTATTCTCTGAAACACATTAACCTGGGTGACTCCTATAACCAAATCTTACAAACTAATGCTTTGATTTTGATGTATAATTTTAGAGAAACGTGAACGTCCTGATAGACATTAGAATTCAGCTCTATGAATGCACACTTTAGTTCACTAACTCAAGTACCCTCAGTGCCAATTAGATACCATTTGTGATGGGAAACCGATGGGTCACCTCATGTCTTCACAGTTGTTCAAAGAGCCTAAAAGGTGTTCCCAAAGTTATTAAATCAAAATTCCTTCCTTATTTCAGAAGTCCTTGAACCACAGATTTATACATGGTTGGTTCAGGCAGTAGACAACCAGAATTAGTCATTTCATCAGTGCCAAGTACCACCCAGAGGGCAAACCCTGGTTCCTGCTCGCTGATGAGTCCCTTTGGCTCTCCAGAGTTTCCTCTGATTTTCATCCGCCTTTTTCTGTATGATGGTTTATCTTTTGCTGTAATGTTTACAACGCATTTCTTTATGTATTTTCCAGTAAAGCAAATGTAAAGAATGCTCCCCCTTACCTGCATTGCTGGACTTCTGTGCATGTTGGATGCAAGCGCTTCCACACCAGAGTGTGTGTGTCGAGCTCATTCACTTCCGTATGACTGTGCACAACTGCTGAGCATTCTCATATGCTCACGCGTCAGCTTACTAGAGTCAGCAAGGCACCCTCACTCCTCGGGAGCCCCCTCCACCAGCGTCCCTTACCCTAGGACTCCGTCTGCTTGATGCGGATGCAGTCGTGGTGAAAGTCCCATTGCCAAGGTCAGAAATCGTACATCCTGTTACCACCCAAATGGCTTTGCAACAGGAACTCATTCCTAGACTATTAGGCAGTGTAGCTGTTAAAAGAATCTTGCAGGGTAAAACTAATTTTCTGTGTCCTTGTTACCTAGGGAATCAGATTTTAACCTTCCTGACATTGTCCGTCTTTATAATCACCAACCGCTGCATCCTCTTCATGCATGTCCTAGATCCCTTGTGTTTTTGTTTGATGGAGTCAAAGCTTACTTACCTCTGTAACTGTTTTGTTGTGTTTCTCTCCCTCCCGCTGCCCTTTTCTACTCCTTCTAGGCCAGAATGGAATCTATGAATCGGTCCTACACTTCACTCATGCCCCCTCTGTCCCCTCAAACTAAGATCCTCACCCCTTATACTGCCTCACAACCTTCACCCCCTCTGCCTCCTCCTCCACCCCCTCCTCCTCCTCCTCCACCCCCACCCCCACCCCCACCCCCTCCTCCCCTGCCCAGCCAGTCTGCGCCTTCTGCAGGTTCCTCGGCCACCATGTTTGTCAAGTACAGCACCATCACCAGGCTGCAAAACGCAGCTCAGCATTCAGGACCCCTGTTCAAGTCTCCACCGCCCGCGGTGATGCAGCCCCCGCCTCTGGCTTCACAGTCCCTCAAGGCTCAGATGGTGGTGCCCCCCAATGGAGTTATTCCTCCACCGCCTCCTCCTCCACCACCCCCAACCCCTGGTTCAGCCATGGCCCAGTTAAAGCCAGTGCCGTGCGCCCCGTCCCTGCCTCAGTTCAGCCCCCAACCTCCTCCACTGAAGAGTCATCAAGTTCAGCATGGTCCTCAGGTGGCCCCTTCCACACCTCCACCAGCTCCTCCCATCCCTTCAACTGTCCCTCCTCAAGCGCCCCCTAAGCCCCTGGTGACCATTCCTCCTTCAGCCAGCACCAAAACTGTGCCACCAATAGTGGCACAAGCTGTCCCACCCACCCCTGCACCTCCAGTGCCCCCAGCAAAGAAGCAGCCAGCTTTCCCCGTTTCTCACATTGCACCCTGTCCCCCTGTCCAGCCTGCCCCGTGTCCCCCACCAACACTACCCAAGCAGCAGAGCTTTGGGGTGAAGCCACCGCCCTCTCCACTGTCCCCTGTGCCCTCAGTTGTAAAGCAGATAGCCAGTCAGTTTCCACCCCCTCCCACTCCTCCTCCTGTGGACTCACAGCCCCCAAAGCCCCTCCCAGCAAGTGTCACCCCACAGTCCCCTCCTGCAGTGAAAGCAAAACCCAAGTGGCAGCCCAGCCCAATCCCTGTCCCTTCCCCAGATTTCCCTCCTCCCCCTCCAGAAAGCAGCCTGGTGTTTCCTCCTCCACCTCCTCCAACCCCAGCCCCAGCCCCAGCCCCGCCGCCAGTGCCGCCCATGGCTTCACCTATCCCTGACAAAGGCGGGTCCCCAGGCAAAAAGCCAAGTAAGACGTCCAGCCCTGGGGGGAAGAAACCCCCCCCAACCCCGCAGCGCAACTCCAGCATGAAGTCCGGCAGTTGTGCGGAGCCCCCCGAGCCCAAGCGACCCTCGGTAGACAGTCTAGTCAGCAAGTTCGCACCGCCTGCAGAGTCAGGGTCTCCCAACAAGGAGACTCCACCCCCTCCGGCAGCACCCCCCAAACCTGGGAAACTACACCTTTCTGGAGTCAACCTCCCCGGAATCCACCAGCAAGGGAGTGTGTCTACAAAAGCCTCTGTTCTGAGTGGGCGTGGAAAGGACTCCGTAGTGGAGTTTCCCTCTCCTCCTTCCGACTCTGACTTCCCACCCCCTCCACCTGAAATAGAGCTTCCTCTGCCCCCTATTGAGATTCCAGCCGTATTCTCGGGAAACACCTCCCCCAAAGTGGCAGTTGTTAACCCTCAGCCACAGCTATGGTCTAAGACATCAGTGAAGAAGGCCCCTCCGCCTACCCGGCCCAAACGAAACGACAGCACCCGCCTCACTCAAGCTGACATCTCGGAGCAACAAGCGATGACCACAGTTGTGCCCCAAGTGCCCACCTCCCCCAAATCCAGCCTTAGTGTCCAGCCTGGATTCCTAGCTGATCTTAACAGGACACTGCAGCGCAAGTCTATCACGAGGCACGGCTCCCTCTCCTCCTCACGGATGTCCAGAGCAGAACCCACAGCCACCATGGACGACATGGTACTCCCCCCGCCACCACCGGAACTGCTGCTGACTGACCAGCAGAAGGCTGGCTTTGGAGGTAGTCATATTTCAGGCTATGCAACACTGCGGAGAGGACCCCCTCCTGCTCCCCCTAAGAGAGACCAGAATACTAAGCTCTCAAGAGACTGGTAGCCACAAGACTTCTTTTCATGTTATCTATAATCAGTTCTACAATCAGTTCACCTGATCATCTGTGAATCCAGGTGTTCAGAGCCTCCTGATATGTTATTCAGGTAGTGTCCAGCTATGTGTGTGTCTGTGTGTATATGTGCTGCGTGTGTGTACATACATGTGCACACAGCTATATAGATTGTGTGTATATACACGTATGTATACATCTGTGAATGTGTATATAGAAAGAGAACCGATTCTATTTATTCCATTTGCCTCCTAATCAGAAAATGGGGTTTTGTATATTTTGAGTGGAAGGACACATAGGAGGGGATATGTTGTCATTTATATTTATCATATGGATTGGACCAAAATCTAGAGGGTATTTCATCAGTGTCTGTCCATGTGCCACCTATCTGTGCATGTGTCTAGAAGGAAGAAATGGATGGACAGTTTCTCAGTTTAAAACTATCATCCAGATTGTTTGGTATAGCTGTAGGCTGTTTTGTTGGGTTTTCCCAGTTGGCTTGACTGACACTTAAATACTCCATGGAAAGGGGCACTTTAAATCAGGAAAACCTTCATGCTACAGAACGGGTCACTAGGGCAGGAAGGGGCAATCCTGAGGACACTGTGGTTGGACATGGGGAAGTCACGGCTCTTCTAGCTGCAGTAGCCCTGCCATGACCCAGCCACACCTGCGATGGCTTCACAGGTCAGCTTTTTGCCTACAACACAACAAATATTTAATGCTATAATTCTAATCCTGGCCACTTTCAATACTGTCTTAAGAAGCCTCATCAACTTGGCTTCATGAGTCGTTATGTCTTTATTGTGAGAACGTCCAGTACGCACTGTAATGTACTACCCCAGTTATGTCTTTGGGTCAGTTACCTTTGCATATAGTAGGTACATTAACAGACATTTGAATCCGTGGATAGTCCAAATATGAAATATACTCCCTGTGCCCAAGGCAGTACATCATTTAAAACAAAGTCAACTTCTGCAATGCCTTCTTTACAAGTTGTTCTCTACGAGAGATGAGGAAGAAAAGACAGAACTGACCTTTTCCTGTCTGTCAGAACTGTCATTTCAGACAGAGGTTGTAAGGCAAAGAATCCATTTAGGATATAACTATCATGAACAAAATGAGTTTTCATAATTTCACCCATAGCTACTGGAGCTGCTCAGATCTTTGCTGTTTACAGCTGGAGTGTAGAGATTTTACAGGTGACCAGGTGTTCTGATGAAACAGTGTCATAGTCCAGTTACAGTAAGTGACATTGGCATATGCATGTGGGCAAAACTTGGGAGCACTACTCTGATGACACTACTCTGCTTAATTTTTTTCTTGGTACATGAGAAAAGTATGTGCTTGTCAACTTACAGTGACAGGCTGATGGGACTACAATGCAGTCTTAGCTGTTTTTAAGTAAGAGAATAAAAACTGGCCATCCCACCGATTACAAATGAACACATCTTGTAAAGAGTCTGTGCCTGTTGTAAAGATAACCAGTGCTAAATGCAGACATCTTCTGGTCCTGTCCCTCAAGCAGAAAGTAACTCCAGTGAATCTGGGTAAAGAAGATAAACAATTGTTGAATATAGTCTTAGTACTGTGTGCCAAGTTTCACTACAATACTCTCCAATAAGGAACTGCATCATAAAGATGTGTACGTGGCACCGCCCATCACATCTGCAGCCATTCTTCACTACAGCCATGGAGTTAGGGGGGAAATGACTGTAAGTCATTGTGCTTTTTAAAAACCCAACTTAAAGATACTTTTTTGATCTTTCAAATTGCTCACCAAGTATTTATGTGCTTGCTATTCTTATGATTACGAAATGACCTTTAATATACCCGCATTGTTAGTTTCAACGTGCACAACAAATGTAGCCAATCTGAGTACAGATGCCAAGCCACACTGAAGTACTTCCTCATGCTCATCAACCTGCAGCTCTACATTCACTCCACAGACAAACCGAGAGTGTGGATCCAGTGACCCCTGGGTGCTTATTTCCAGGGGTGTTTTTGTTTTCTTTTTTAATTAAGCCAGGTAGACAACTTAAGGTTTCCTTGAGTGGAAAAATATGTACCTCCAATCGAGACTGAGCCCTAAATCAACAACTTCATTTCTTCAGTGTTGACTTCATGGGAATTCTTTGTCCATCCTGAGCCACTGCCCCTGGTTTTATTTTCTAGGGAGAACAGATACCTTTGAATCCTAGTAATGTTAAGAAAATGAGAGGGGTGGTAAACTGTCCATTTCTGACTCATCATGTGACAGACGCAGTTTCTTTATATTTCTCCAAAGACAGAGACAGCTGTTAATTAAAAATAAAACAAAACACCCAAGTGACACATTCCAATCTTTCTTTCACTGCCCAGTGTGTGGGGAGGTTCTGCTGAGGTGTAGTTTTAGTCTTGCTCTGGTGTGTTCATGGACAAGACCTCCTGCCAGCTGACACCAGTTCTGAACCGCCTTCACTCCCCTCAGCTCAGCAGCTCCAGCTTCATGGCCTTCACAGGAGGCTGCCTGGACTAGTGAACAGGGTGAAGGACCTTCTGCTCCTGAGGGCAGGATGGATAAGTGCTTTTCAGAATTGGTGATCCCCTCAATTTTTACTATATAGGTAATTTCAAGTCTCTTAGTGCTTAAAGTTTGGGCACCAACTCTGAAGCAGAACCTATTCCGAATGTAACAACCTACCTGCGGTTCACAGGTGTTGGCATGAATACTGTTCTTAGTAAATCTCCTCAGCTTGGCTTTTACCCCCACAAGATTTAAATGCGCTTTCTCTTTTTAGTTGCTGGAATTCTCATTTGGAGGGGGAAAAAAGTTTTCTTCAGACATCCACGTAACTGTATAATGATTTTTTTTCAATGTCTAAACTTTTTCATGAGAGTAAGATGGCTGGATCTTAAAGATGATCAAAAAGACCCATTTTCATTAGACAATTAAAAGTAAGAGATAACAATGGGGTTTTTTGTTTTGTTTTTATAAAGTCCTTCAAAATCAAGGTGCTCCTACCCACTGATGTCCTATCTTGTAAAGGGCTGAAAACTGTTTTAGGTTTTCCTCTCTTTATTGTACTTTGATGTTATAAATAGTACTGAGTTTGTCTAAAAAGTTAGAATTGAGGTCAAAGTAATTCTAACAGGGTAACAACTCTAAGGTCAGGATCGGCAGGGACCCAGGTTTCAAAAGCTGAGCAGTAGTGTGCTCGGTTCATCAGACTTCCAGAAGAACACATCACCTTTGTTACTCAAATAAAACAGCTTTATGTTACAGACACAAGGTGGTGTTTAAGCAAGTAAAAACCCAATTCCAAACATTTTCACGTATCGTCAGGACTAGCATTAAAACTGAGGTAACTTCAGATTTTACTCCAGTTTAGAACAATTAAAACAATGTCCTATATGAATGTGATGGCTTCATTTAAAAAAAAAAAAAAAGGGCTTAATTATTTTTGTTTATACATGAAGACAGCTTTTCCTTAGAGAAATTCCTTTCAAATTACAAAAACTTTTTGGAACTTTAATTTTTTTTTAAATTTTTAACTTTATGTTATCTGTAATATGTGACCCCTCCAAAGTTGGCCCAAAAGAAAATGCAAGAAAAAAATCCCACCATCTTTTAAGATGGTCCTTTTAAAATCCAGTAAAAATGTGTTATGAAACAATGTATTTCATACACAATGTGTTGGCCGGCATGGGCTCTGGTTTGCTGTGAAGTAAGCCATGTTAGAAAGCTATCTGCTGTAATATAATCCCCAGTGCCTTGAACTCTCTAGAGGAATAGCATCTAAAAACAACAAAGTCACCAAGTAAACTTGGAGGTGCTAATGAAAGCAAAGACAGGTAAGTATTTTTGAATTTTGGGCACAAATGGAGGGGGGAATGACTGTCTTATATTACAAGAGTTTTCATCCACCTAAATGGAGTCTGGCTGTTTTCTACCAAAGATGTTGAGAGAAGCGGTTCACGTCAACACTGGGTCCTCCTTAAGAGGCGGCCAAAGCTGGGAGCCTGTTGCTCGTGAATTTCAAGCAAGTGATGGTTAAACTTCTTAGGAAGAAGACGGGGCTGCAGCACTCAAGGGAGACAGGATACATTTTTAGGAACTATCCATTCATTAAATTTGTTACAACTTAATACCAAAAACTGCCCTTTTTCGTAATTCCACCTCCTAGTTTTTCCTGTATTTGTAAATAGTTCCTCCTAGGAAATAAGCATTAACTGGAATGTTTGAAATGACTGTGCTTAGTTTTAATATCAGCCTCTAGTGAACTCTTCTTGCAGAGATGCGTAAGGTAAAATATGATTAGCTTGTGCTCAGTGTTGTAAAAATACTGTTTACTGTTTTCAAAGAATTGCACATTATCTCTACCTGGGGTTGTCTTCTCCTTTCCCTGGAGTCAAGGCTCACGCTGACTTCTAGCTGTGGGAATTTTGTCATAAACAGATATAATGTAGAAGTATACTTTTTTAAAGCATGAAGATAACAAATGTACCAGAAAGAGGACATTATTCAGAGGATTATGCACAGCTTGGTAAAGATGAAGTTGTGGTTTTCTTGCAGCCTTTATTGTTTTCTTCTGCATAAATGTACACTCATTTCATTATGTGCCTTGCTCCCTGATTGTGCAAAGCTATATATACACACAAATATATATATATGAGAAAGAGATATATTCATTCAGTACTACTGACATGTTTTTATTCTACTGCTGGATTAAGTTAGTTTCCGAGTTACACTTGCCACTTGTCATAAACTATTGTAATGGCTTAGGACAGTGGTCAGAAAGCTACAGAAAATTGGTTTTTCTAGTTACATACTTTATGTCATCTAGCCCAATCCTTAATTTAAAAAAATTAAATAGATTCCATTTAAACACAAGGATTTCGAGTGTTTTGGATGAGTACCACTAGGAACCTGGTTTTGTAGGGCTGGAGAGATGACTCAGCTATTAAGAATGCTTTCTGCTCTTCCAGAGGACCAGAGTTCAGTTCCCAGCACCCACATCAGGCAACTCAAAACCGCCTATAACTCCAGCTCTAAAGGATCCAATGCCCTCTTCTGGCCTCTAAAGGCATCTGAACACTTATGGCATACATACACATAAATAAAAGTAAATTCTTCAAAGAACCTGGTTTTAAAGCTCGTTATGTCAGGAAAAATCAAGTGTTGTAGGGGAATTAACTACACAGTTCTTCCATGTGTTTTGCTTGTTTATACCAACAGATTGGAGATCATTAAATATTACTAATTAGGAAGTGATTAGGGGCCAACGAATAAAGGTGATTGCCAATAGGCCTGACAACCTGAGTTCCAATCCCTGGAACTCAGGTGGATAGGAGAGAACCAATTTCCACAAGTTATCCTGTGTGTGTGTGTGTGTGTGTGTGTGTGTGTGTGTGTGTGTGTACATACACAATAAATGTGTTAAAAAAAAATTCTATTTTAAAAGTAGTAATAGCTTTTTATGGGCAGTTTTGTTGTTTTGTAAATTAAAAATAATTTGTATTAGCTGGGCGGTAGTGGCACTTGCCTTTAATCTCAGAACTAAGGAGGCAGAGGATCTCTGTGAGTTCAAGGCCAGCCTGGTCTACTGATGAGAGAGTTCCAGGAGAGGCAGGACTACAGAGAAACCTTGTCTTGAAACCCCTCCCCCTAAAAAGAAGTGTGTGTGTGAGAGAGAACTACAGCTCGAGAATGCTGGGAACCAAACCCAGGTTCTCTGAGCGCTGTTAACTGCTGAGCCATCTCTCTAGCCCCTGACCTATTTTGTTTTAAATAAAGTACAACTGGGTAAAATCTAGTGCCAAAAAGGATCTCCTCCCCGAACGCTGCCATGATCGGGAAGTACGATGATGTCCTGGGACTGCCAGATCAAATGGATCTGTTTAGTTACAGGTTACAAATCACTTTACCATCTATCATCAAACTATTAATAAAAGTTATAACCTCTGTCAGTGCTACCAACTGTGGACCCTTTTATTTCTGGAGAAATCCCGTTCTTGAAAACATTCCTTTAGAACGTGTTGGCGGAGCCTCCCACGTTCCATGTCATGGAAGTGACAGGCTCTGAGGACGAGGGTCACGAGACCTGGAGCAGTGTTCTGATTCTGGAGATTGCCTGTTTACTTAGAGAAATCACTAGGAAAACTTTTGTAGTCAAATCATTTATCATCTGGGATCTTAACCAACACCTTTGTTTTTAATCAACCTCATTCTAATGACAGAAAAATTTACACTTAACAAAATTTAGGTATATCTGGAAAAAGCAGTTCAAAACTAAATAAGCAGCTGTCTTTAAAATACTTCAGAGATCAAACTTGTTAAAGGTTCAACTCTCTTTAAAGTCTTAAGTAATTAAGACTTTAAAGTAATTGAATAGTACCATCAGTGCTTAGAACCACCTTAGAAAGAAGTAGTGAATACATAAATAATTCTGCAAGACACTGGAATATACTTCGTGTGATTTTTATTTGGGTCAAGTTCTTAGTACACAGCAATAATTCCAAATACAATTTAAAAATTAAGTGAATGTCCCTCACTCATCTGGAGGTGCTCAATGGCGCACAGAAGGAATGATACTGGCACACTTGCCCACTCAAGTTGCCTGAATGTTTTTTTTACTCAGTACCCGCCCACTCTCTGGGAGCTATAAAGTGTGACTGGCCAGATCATAAATTGTTTACATTCTTTTTGTAAACCATTTTGTTAAGAAAAAAAGGTACACGGACACAAAATATGATTAAAAACTGCTTTTCCATAGAATTCCAAACGTGCAAAAGAGGCTTGAGTTTAATGTGAAAATAAGCTTTTTATTTTCCTTACAAAAACTTTAACATTAGCAAGGGTCATTTACACAGCTAGGCCTTGTCATTTCATTTGTTGATTTTTTTTAAATAGAGATTCTCAATAAAACAAAGAGCATAACGTAAACTTAGCTAGCCAAGCTCGATGCCTCCATTTAGTGACTCTGTAAGGCTGTGCTGTGCTGTGCTCTGATCTGCTCCTGCCAGGGTAGAACTAAATACAATGCCTTCTTGCTACACACAGCTTTATGGAAAGGTGTTTACGAATGAAGTTTTAGAAGGGTAAATGAAGATTATTTCCACTCAGGTTGTACTTAAACTTGAAGCAAATGAATACTTGGGTGGTTATTTATCAAAAACATGGCATATCTTTTCAAGTATAGTCCTGAGAACAAGAACTCATGATTTCTAAAGAAAAATACAGCACATTGAATTACATTTGGTACAGTGGAGAAAAGACTGAACTGAGTCAAGAGCTAACTAGCTGTTTATCTGAAACAAAGCATCAACCCCATCGTTAAAGTGAGACTGGAAAAACATCTTTAAAGCTTATTAGTTCCAAAATTCTAAGATACCAAGTAAACAGTGTTAGGGAAATGTCAGCTCCACACCCATTAGGAGTTCTTGGCCAAAGCTATTCAGAAGTGAACGGCTCCCATTCATTTCAAAGATTTGGCAGTCAACCTACCATTTATTTCTTCACCAAAGCCCTTTCCAGAAGTCAAGGCGGTCTTCAGGACACACCATGTTCTCTCCGTAAGAGAGAAGGTAATAAAGGTAAAGCAAGAGTTATGCTGCGGGAGGACCTTTAAAGAACATAGAAACTGGAAAACAAGTGAGCTATCACTGTGATGCCCCATCCGTAAGAATCCTCTTTATCAACAGAAAACGGGTAGAGTCCAACTCAACCGCAGACTGTAAAGACACACAAGCCAGTCTCCAGCTGGGCGTACACAGCAGCAGGACGGGGATGGAAAGGAGGGATGAAGTGTCACCCCAGTGGCTTTTAGGAACAGCAAAAGCAGCAGTCCTGTACCCACCCCAAAACGGGAACAGCAGGTACCTCTTAGGAAGACAGAAGGAAGTAGCCAAAAGGAAAATACTGTAGGAGACATCTTAAAAAGTTCATATTTATTCCAAACACAGCAGGCTGAAATCTCTTGGTCTAGATTTCAAACATTGGCACTGTTTTTGCTTCTAATTTGCCTTAGCTATAAGGTCAAACACAAGAAGGTATTTTCACTCAGATCCATGGACCTTCAAATATTAATAGCAAAAAAGAGACAAATGTCCAGTCCTGCCCCCCCCAAGGGTAAAGGAACTGTCCACAGGATCAGACATTTCAGGAAAGATAGCGCCCTCAGAGCACCTGTGTCCTGGTAAAGCAGTTGCTTACTGGTCACCTAAGTTTCAACATTCGTTTAAAATTCTTAGTATTGATCATATTTTAGTTTATGGGCAAATAAATGGGCAATTTTACAATAAAACAGGAGATAACCTCACAGTATTAACAGCATGCAATCTACAAAATATTACATACATTAAAAGTCTCCAATTACTCTAGGCCTGGCTCATTGTTACAGAGTATCCTTCCAAGACAATTTATAGAATTCAACACTGAAATTTTAAAAAAAAAATGAAAGAAAAGCCAACAGACAGTGGTTTTTGTTTTTCTAAAATCACATCAGTACTCATGAATACAAGTGGAGGAATCAGCTGGCCCATGGATTACTACCCCCAGTGCAAGTCTTCAGCACAAAGTATATCACTAGTGTATTCTGCAAACCCCAGTTCAGCAGGGGTCCAGAAGGTAAGCTGTGTCCACCACCAGCTGTTTCTGTAACTATACAATACAAGCTAGTTATTTGCTGGGTTTCCAAACATCGTCTTATACATCCACTAAGCTCACTCAGCAAAAGGCAACTTAAATAAATAATTAGTGCAACTATTTTCAAAAGTTTCCATGTACCAATACAAGCCAAGTTAAACATGTTCATATACAGTCTTGCTGGGTCCATAATGGAGCTAAAGGCTCAGAGGACATTCAGGGACATATCCTGAAGATAGTCAAGACACCTAACAAAGCATGAAGTAGAAAGGGTACTAGAAGCAAGTTAAAGATGAATCCAAAGTGTTGACGAAAAATCTACAGTATGACAGCTGATGTGTGATGTCATCAAAAGGGAGGGGGGGCCTGCTGCCTAGCGTAGTGGCTCCTGCTTGTAATCCTCGTACTGGGAGGCTAGAGGGGAGGAACACCATGTCTGAAACAAACAACTGCAACTTTGAAGCAAAAAAAGTCTTGGGAAGGAAACTGTTTGGGTCTCAGTTACACAGTGACGCCTCAGGCTCAGATAACAGATCTCTAAGTGGAGTTCACTTCTGCCTGTACGATCTGCTTTTCACATCTACAACACTTGTTCAGTTTTCAACCAAATTCTTCTAGCATCACTAACCAGCATGTTCAAGGCCTGCATCTGAATTACAGACAGCTATTGCTTCCTCTTCCTTTTCATTCTTCAGGTGAAGTTACCCAGCCAGATTCATTCTGGCCAACTCACTGGACTGATAAGAATCCACACTGGAGCTTTGAGCCTAAATACAAACTCGCCCATCACCATGGTATTCACCTATAGGGCAGCAACACCTATCTTTTTTTCCCCAAGTATTTCTTATACTAACTACAGAAGTGATTATTAAAGCCACCAGACATATAAACACTGAATTTAAACTAATTGTGAATGAGGGAGATGCCAATCATTTCCACATCACACTGATTCTCCTCAGTGTCGAGTGGTAAGTATTCTGTCCTCGTCTCTGCCACTACCCTCTAGTCTGAATCCCAAGGTTCAGATTCTGACTAGGAGTGTCTACTTTAGAGTCCAATCACTTCAAATCAGGAGACTTGACTTTTCTACAGCTGAGAGAATAAAAACGATTCAGCATCGGCTAACACTGCCATTGATAACGGTCCACAGCACAGTAGCAGCCTGTCGTTCCCTATCCAGTGACTGTCCAGAGACCTGACAACTAGTCTCTTTTTAAAAGGAGGAAAAAATGTTTTAAGTATCCAAAGTACAGCAAGAGCTGGTCTGACTTCCTAGTCCTACTCCCAGAAGCAGCACCTAAGGTGAAAGGCTGGAGCTCTTCCCTTCCAAGCCTTAGGAACCCTCGTGTCCAACTTCACACACCCACCTCAGTACAAGCACCTACCACATTTCACAAACCGGCTGTTATTGGCAATGCAGTCTCATGCAACAGTGCATTAAAATCAAACTGTGGTGACTGTTAGCCCTGGGAATGTTTGGAGACTTTCACATTATGTCATCCTTAAAATCTACAAACAGGACAGGATGCAAGGGAGTTCAGTAACTCACCGAGCACACTCCAGTGCTAAGAGAACACAGGATTTACAGTGTTAAAGAAAAACAGCCTTTGAAACAATCAAAAAGTAGTTAAACATGGTATTTAAACACTGGTTCCTTCCTCTCCATATAGTGGAAGAAAGTAAGGGGGGGCAAGGGTGTCCATCTGGCCACGAGGCTAACCCCAAGACTGAGGCAGTGAACACCCAACATCACAGATTCTGCAGGAAGAGAAATCCAAGGGTGTACAGGATTCCTGAGAAAGATCCCAGACTTTTTTCTCAAGCCAGTCTTGCTCTGGTTTGTTCTAGCTACATGTTTATGTTGTGATGCCGTCTATAGATTGGGAAATGGTCACATTTTCAACCCAGACAGCATCGGACAAATGACAGCAAGACGATCCATTTGTTCAGACTTGGCTTTGATGTTTTGTTTTGAATACTAGGGGATGAACCAAAACATAGTAATAAAAGAAGTAACTTCATTTGTATGTTTCATTTGTCTCACTGGGAAGAAATTCCCAGGGCCTCTAGTTAATCTGGGAAGACCTGACCTCCTGCAAGGAAAGCACGGCTGTGCTGAGCTTTACTCCGAATAGTGCATGATGGACTCAACGTAATTCCCAGGGAAGAGCCCAGTCACTCCATTCATAACTCCCTCATACCAACCATCGTCATTCTTCTTGATGACATAAATAATGGCCCCCTCCTGAAAGGACAGCTCATCTTCCTTGTCTTTTGTATAATCGTAAATTGCCACAACTGGGGGAAACAAAATAGGATGTGAATGAGA